GGAGTTATTCACTCTGAATGGTTTGTCATGGACAATTGCCAATTCAGTATCTTGGTCTTTCTCTGATCTCTGGAAGACTTAAGTGATAAGGAATGCAGGGCTTTGGTAAACAAAGTAACTGCTAGAATTAATGGATGGCCTTTTATAAACGGATGGCTTCGTAAGCATCTTTCATATGCGGGCAGATTACAACTTATCTAGTCTGTGATTTATAGTTTGGTTTGGTGCCAAACTTTTCTTATTCCATAATGTTATTAGAATGGTAGAGAGCGAATGTGCAGCTTTCTTGGGGAAGGGCACTATTGAAGATGCTCGGGAGCAAGAGGTTGCTTGGGATGAATTGTGTTTGCCAAAGAGTGAGGGTGGTTTAGGGCTGCGAAAGCTTGGTCTATAGAATCTGGCTCGTGTGCATAAGAATCTAACAAAATTATATATGAAATATGGTTCTATTTGGGTGGCTTGGACGCCTTGTTAATTGCTCAGCAAGAATCTATTGGGCTGTTCAAATCAAAGGAGACAACACCTATGCATGGAGAAAGCTGTCGAAAGTTAGATATGTCTTGAAGCCTCATGTTAAATGCCAAATTGGGGATGAAAATAAGTACTTATCTCCGGTTTGATTCTTGGCACTCTCACGGGGTTGTGGCTGATGTTTATCCTAGAAGAGTGATCTGTGATTCTGGCATTGGTTACCATTCCAAAGTTGCCTCTGTTATCAGGGGTAATGACTGGATTTCGCCTCGTGCCAGGTCTGAAAACTTGGGGAGTATTCTATCTGCACCTTGTTCTAATGCAGTTCCTTGTTCTGAAGTTGCAGACATGGTTATCTCCACTGGTTCTCGCTCTGGTCTCTTTCCTCAAGCTGACAGCTAAAATATTGGTCAAGAATAGAGGATCGATTGGCATGGTTCAATCCTAATGTGTCTTAACTCAGCTTTATATGGCTACTCTTAATAGATTGCCAACTCTTGATCGAGTAAAGAGGCGGAAATCTATAGATGATACATGTAGTCTTGGTGGAATCGCTCCTGAATCAAGGAAACACTAGTTCTTTTTTTTTTTTTTTTTGATAACCTAGGAACCCCGCACGACCGACAGCGGAGGTAAACCCCTGGGGCGACACGTGCTAGCCACCACACACGTGCACCGGTTAAGTCACCCTGCGGCGCCGGGATTCGAACAACCAACTTTTGCGAGAGGAAGAGTGCCCTTTCCAACAGCGCCACCCGCGGGTGGTGGAAACACTAGTTCTTTGATTGCTTGTTCTCCAAAGAAATGGGGTCTCACTTGTTCCAGCTGAGGCATTCAACGATCCATCAAAGGTTGGGATGTGGAGTTTTCCTGGGTCATGCATACTCTGAAAGCAAATTCTTTTTTACAAGAATTTGCACAAGTTGCTTTGGAGTGAAGCTGTACACTTTATATGGATAGAGAGCAATTGCACATTCCATACTAGTGGCGATCCTCAAACCGCCAGAGCGATCAAAAGAGTGATATTCTCAGTTCTACTTCGAATGTCTGGTTTGTTGCTGATGAGGAAACCCAGATTACTGCCTGAAGATCGAGATATTTGCCAAAGATTGATGATCCTTATGCCCTAGTGCTGTGGGGCATGTCTTTGGAGCATGATTTGATGTTTTCCTCTCTGTTCACTCTGTTTTGCTTTAGTCTGTGAGGCCAGTTGATTATTTTGGGCCTTTGCAGTTGAGCTCATGAAGGAACATTTGACTTGTATGGAGGCTTTAGCCTTCTCTTGACTATTTGTGCTATAAAGTAATTAACTGATCAAAAAAGAAAAAAGGAAAATAAAAAGTAGTCATCTTTGGATTTTTACAATTCACTTAAGTTCGTTGATAATGATAAATTAATAATATAGTGTGCTCGGAAAGACTTTTACTTTTGCTTAATGAAAATCTTGCAATTGATGTACTTTGGCTTTTCCTTAACCCAAAACACCTAACACTTTCACAACGCATACATATCGGCACGTATATTTACATATGATTTTTCTTATAATATTGTGGATAATATTTCAAATTTTTGGGGGGAAACTAGAAAGTTGTTTTTTGCTTTAAAAAAAATAAAGCAAACATGATATGCCATGTATGCCCTATAATTTGCATATAGATCGATTGTGCTCTCAAATTTTGCATCCAAAAACGCATGATATTCGAATAAAAAGATCCTGATTATGTAATGATTATTTGAGAAAATGAGGGCACTTCGTATCCTTATTTGACACATGGTTCATTTCAGGCCCCTATTTGAGAAAATGATAGCACTTCGGGTCCTTATTTGAAATTTTCCCGGTATATGATGGTGTCGCTTAATTTGGATTTGATGGGAAAGGACTTTTACATCAATACTCGAACCTTGTACGTCACAAATTCATACATATACATACAATTCACAGTTCGCTTTCAGTCTCTTTACACCCCTCCTATCATGGAATCTGGTGAACAATGTAATCCGTGTCTTTTCCTTAATTATCAACGGGAAAGAAAATAAAATAAAATAAAATAAAAAATACGTGCTGTTGAATTTAATGTCTAATCACAAGTGTCCCACTTCCCTTGTGGCATTTCACATCATGATCAAACTGCAGATCTTAGGGGGGAAAATGTGCGTTATCTACTGAAATTTTGTCGCTTGGAAAGGACTAGTAGATGTTGAGTGAAGCCAATCAGATTGGAGATTAGGCTTGAACATACCATCTCAGGAAATGCTATTACGGGACAAAACATATGTGTGTGTATATATATATAGGATATCTAAAATTTCATGAGAGTACTGCCGACTATTTTAATAACTTACAATAAGGAAGACAAATAAAGAGCCTGAAAGATTGGAACTCGGGACCTCATATTTTAATAATATACAAATTTTGTAATTGCTAACTATTCTAAGAACTTAATTTATTGAACAAATGTGAGGTATAATATTTAAATTTTCTATCAGAATAGCCTTTTGCAGGAAAATAAAAATTTCTCTCCTCATGAACTTAAGAGGCAAATGAGACTCCGTTTGTTTCGCAGAAAATGAATTATTTAAAAAATATTTTCCTAAAATCAATGAAATGTTGAGCCCGATTGTTGTCCTAAAACGGCATGCCGACAAATGAGAAAAATATTACTTCTCTTGTTAGAAAGGAAAAAATAATACCTTGATGAGAGTACTTCCATGCCCGATGATGATGGGATGTCGACAGGCTTTTTTTGCCCCCTTTATTGTGGGGCGAAGTGTGCCCTAGTTAGTGCTGGTTGAACACTTGCTATTGGGAGCACTAAGAACAAAAGGTAATGACCACCTAATAGGCTCCTTGCTTGCTTAAAGTGCAATTAATTTAGCGCCATGACTTGAACGAGACTGCATTGATTTTCGGAAGATCCCTAGAATGATGGCGAGGGGACAAGGTGCATTCGAGCAACATCAGTGGAGGATGTGCGCACTTTTAGGGTTTCATCACTTGCTCATCATTACGACGCAATTAATTACTCGGTTTAAACTTTAATTTATCCCACCATTTTCTTTTGCCACGCGTGCGCATTAATTCATGTGAGAGACTTTTCTAGCAATGAATGCTCAAATACAGTCTCACGCTCTCGCTATTCTCTTCTTGTCCGTTTCAAGCTTGCACTGACATTTTCTTATTATTATTGGCTTTGAGCATAGTTGGTGGAGGGAAGCAAGTGACGATTGAGTCATTGGTTATGTGGTCTCAAATGTACTTTAATTAGAAAGTGGTAGGTTGTTGGGTATCTTTTGAGTTATTGTATGAGTAAACCACGTAGAATACTCTCCAGGATAACATAAAGGTTGGGACTCGTATCTCTTAATTGTGAGACGTGCGATTTTCGAGGATCTGCTGAAGTTACCAATTATCGGTTTTGTACTTGTTCTTTACGCATGTGCAACTTCAATATGGAGTTGATGAAGGTATGTATTTTGCCCCAAATGGCGTATGAAAGGAAAAAGTGTACTCGATTGAGGTTGAAGCCCATGTAGGTCACGAGTTGGTACGAATATGTTAATATGAGTTGCTATGGATTTCTAGTTTAAATAATTAATGTCTTCTATATCTTAGTTTGCTTGATAATCTAATTGAGTCTGCATAGGATAATGTGTTACACCTTATCTAGTGTTTAAGGACGCCCGTCGGACCAAATATATTCAAATGAAATGCATGATAAGAAATCCGAGACAAGGAATCGGATAGATCCTGCTTGGATAAGAAAAAGTAAAAATAAAGAACTTAACAAGAACGAGAATAATAAGATGTTGCAAATGATGCTCGTGATGGTCGGCGCCGCCATCCAATTCTTTTTTTTTTTTTTTTGGAATTTTCTCTTAAAGTGTGCCAGAGACTTGGTAGGATTAGATATGTCCACATTTACCATCCGGGTATTTTATAGACCACTATTTTTTTTTTTTGAGTATTCTATATGACCCTACAGCATTCTCAGGCTCCACCTTATAGTTTTAATATCAATTAAGTGATATATATATATATATATATATATATATATATATATATATATGAAGTAGAAGTTGACAAGAATGAATTAGAAATTCAACAAAAGTCATGTTGTCGTATCTAGTTTGATCTAATCCACTTATCATTAATCTTAACCATAGCGATTAAATGTGTGCTTTCAATATACGAAATTTGAAAGTCTGTAATCATTTATTCTTTGAATGTCTAGATCGAAATAGGCAATCTCCCTTCCCCCGACTATTGCAAGTATCATAAGGTTTTCCTTTTTCTCCCCCAAAGCTCATTGGCTTTTAAAGAGCACTTCGAAAGTACGATATTCAAGGGGAAAAAATTCAGTGCATTCTTCATTGTTTCTAAGTAAAGACGCTGATCATCAAGTTTTTCTCGATCCACGAAAACTTATTCACTCAATAGCCTTGACCATATGAATCCACGCACGCGACAATTAAACAAGAAAAAGAAAACTAAGATAATTCATCGATAATAATCTGATAGGAGGAAAACATAAGATACACAAAAAGTTATTGCCCTTTTTGTTTTTGTTTTCATTTTATTGATCCAGTGCACAAGAAAGCTACATATACAAAGAGGGGTTTCCCCATAAACCAAAAACCCCACCACGACCACCCTATACACTGCCCCCCCCCGTGGCATGTTTTATAATCCCTACATGTCCTTATCTTTTAGATTAAGACGTGACATAGTACATGATTCACAGAATAATCACACATTTGAGTGATTCGCGAGGTTTTCCATCACTGTCCTTGTCTCCTGCTAGTCATCGTGACGACCTACTTAGGTCTTTGGCCACCTACACTCCACCTGTTTTTACCCTAAGAAACGTTTAGATTAAGAACATAATCCTACGTACGAACGTATGCACAGGGAGATGATGATTATGATTGATACATATTCACGTATTCTCGTTACACACACGCACACGCACAGGGTCTGATCGTATGTTTTCATTCTAAAATATTTTGTCGCCCGTCTCTAAGTCTAAGCCATCGAGTATGTTCATCGCACCATCGTCACCGAAGCAATCGAACCCACCAAAGTCGTGGACCCCGTAATCTTGACCCCCCAACAACCACGAGAAGCTCTCGCTCTCCTCCGGCCAGGACGGAAACAAGCCCGCCACGTCGCAGCTGGGGTTCTCGTTCGGCGACAAGTTGGCGGTCGTGGCCCCCACCGCCGGTGATTCGTCCGCCCACAAGCTGTCCATCAAGAATGACTGATCATCGCTGCCGCAGATGTACTCGAGCAAGACCAGCGACTCGTCCGCGCCAGCGCAGTAGTTCTCGGCGGACGAGGAGGCCGACGGGGACGACGAGGACGAGTTGTACTCGTCCACGTGCGTGTTGTTGGTTTGGTGGGTGTTGGCAGGCGATTCGGACGTATGGTCCGCCAGTGATGACGACAAGGATACTTCTGATTCTGGGTCATGTTCGGATGGAGTTTGCTGAGGTTTGTTCAAGGGCTCGTGAGTCACCGGATCGATCCCCGACTTGAGGAGCTTCTTCTTGATGTGGGTGTTCCAATGGTTCTTTATTTCGTTGTCGGTTCTCCCTGGCAACCTCGCCGCGATCTTCGACCACCTAATCCAGGAACAATCATAGGAAGACGTAGATGTTAGTTCTAGTCACGTGTCACGTCGAGACATCTTTTCTTGCGTACACAGTCAACAAAAAAGCATGTATCATACGTATAGAAAATAGTACGTGAAGTCCCAATTTTCCACGGGCTGCTCGCGAAATGAATAATTGAATATACGGGACATTCTTCGACAAGTAGATATGACAGAAGATGCATATTGAAGATATTGAAAGCATAGACTAAAATTGCAACAATAGACCAATCGCAATATGCTGCATATAAAAAAAATACTAAGAAAAGGTAATACTAAAATGTTGTCAAGTTGACGAAATGATTTAATTCCGAGTTAGTTACATTTAAAAGTTTATACTTTAATCTATTATATTAATATATATATGAAATTAATTCTCAAAAGATGTATATATGAGATTGATTCTCATTAGATTTCATCATGTTATATAAGAAATGATTGAATTAGAGAACATGCTTCCTAACTCAGAACTGGCGAAGCAAATGAATTAAAATGACCTTTAATGCGGGATAATCAAGTAATGGGTTCATGAGAAGAATGATGAACATCAGCCGAAGATTAACAAGTATCGCCTCGATTGAAATGCAGAGGAAGCGACGAGGGACAAGCTAATCGGTCCGAACCTGTTGCCGAGGCGGGCGTGGAGGTCGATGACGAGCTGCTCCTCGGCCTCGCTGAGGAGGCCGCGCTTGAGGTCGGGGCGGAGGTAGTTGGTCCAGCGGAGGCGGCAGCTCTTGCCGCAGCGGCGGAGGCCGGCGAGCTTGGGGACGGCGCGCCAGCAGCAGTGGCCGTTGGTGAGGATGAAGTTGATGAGCTTCTTGTCCTCCTCCGCCGTCCACGGCCCTTTCTTCACCCCCAGTTTGTCGCAGCAAGGTTGCCTCCCCATGCCTTAGCAGTCTAAGCACACCTCCAAATTATATTTGTTCATCCAAATTTCTTCTCTGTCTCTCTCTCTCTCTCTCTCTCTCTCTCTCTCTCTAGTTTCTCTCTCTAGCTCTAGCGCTAACTCCACTTGTAAAAACTCGAGAGCCCCACAACCACCTTTATATACAAGCCCCACGTACCTTTCCGACGGCTTCTTCTCTTATTGGAATTTTATAATGCACGGGATTTTCCATTAATTATTATAGATGTCAGCTTAGTGGAGGAAAAAAATGGCTTTCACATGTTGTCCAAAAATTAGTGGAGTGGCATAGGATATTTAAATATATCGATGATATCCAATGCCCAATAAACATCTGCCATGCTCTATATTAATTAAGGGTTAATACCATGAAAAACTCTAAATTGATACATATGTGATAAATTTACTCCAAAATAATTTTTTCACCATCAAAAACCGTAAACCGGTACATTTGTGACAATTTTATCTTTCGTTAATTTCCATTAAATTGGATGAATACCACGAAAAATCACAAACCGGTGCACCTGTGATACTGGTACATCCGTCAACTGTCACGTGTCATTCAACTCAGCAATTTGACGGTAAAATTTAAAGAAAACTAACGGATAGTAAAATTGTCACAGATGTACAAAATTGAAGTTTTTGGTAGTCAAAAAATTAATTTTGAGTAAATTTGTCATAGACATACTAATTTGGGGTTTTTTCGGGCATTAACCCTTGAATCAACTATACAATTCAATTTCAGTTGTCTAATGTAATTTAAAATTTTCAATCTTAAGGATGACCCCATATCAATAAGAGATGAGTGATAACTTTAACTCTCTCTTTTGTGATCACACCATTTTAACAACGATGTCCAGTGAAAAAGCGAGGTTAAAGATAAAAATAAAGGTACCAAACGTTCGATGAGACATTAACAACCGTTTAGATCCCACATCAAAACACTCACGCTTTTAATTACATTAACAACCGTTTAGATCCCACATCAAAACACTCGCGCTTTTAATTAAAGTGGATGTGTTTATGTAAAATTTGTACAAGACTTTTTTGACGCACTAAAGATTAAGCATCTTTTCATCTCCCCTCGCTTTACACATTTTAATAATGGTACTCGTGCATAGTGCTTGCAAAACACATGGAATCCTAATTAATAGTGTGATGAAACGGACTCCCTAAAATAATCAGAATTGTCCAGAACTCGAATCGAACTTATAAAGGTTGAAAACCCACGAGGGCCTACCTCTTAGAGATCTATGTACATCATGATATTCACTTTAACCTTCAATAACTTTTTTTTTACCTAGAGAAAGCATCATGAGGAGGGAGAGAGAGAGATTCATTTGAGGGTCCACCAAATTGGGAGGAGAGAAAAGGACATTGGAACTAATATGGCCTTGTTCTGCTGTCTGCCAAGCTAAAACACAAAAAAAAATATGGTGAAAGTGAATGATGGATGACCCAACGACACATCGCCACACATCTCATCAATCCATCACTCTCTCTCTCCCCCTCCCCCCAAACAATTTCTCCTCTCTCCTTCGCTCCTTCGCCAATTTCATACACAACCCCACTCCCTAATTGCACTCTTACTCCACCATTCCATCACCAATTTCGTCACCCCCAAGTCTATTTCTACGTCTCCGTATCATGACATTTATGTCATACCCAAATACAAAAAAAAAAGGGGGGAAAAGAAGATGTATGTGATTGATGCTAATCGCCATCAAAGATGATCCAAATTCATAAAAGGATTTCGACCACAATCTTTTACGCAATTTCAAGAATGTCAATATTCGTCGTGTTAAGTAATTACTTTCACATAACGGAAAGAATCGTGATTTTTTTTTTTGGTCGGAGAAAGAATCGTGATTTGAATTATCGGAAAACCGACACTTATCCGTACATGAGGCGATGCACCTCATGGGTAACGTAAAAAATTTAGTTTGCTTTAATTCAGTTAATAAGTAATATCACGACAAATAATTCGTTACCATCATCACAATTATAATCAACGAAGTTCAAATATTTTTAATTAGGTTACTTAAAACAAGAATGCCTGAAATTACTACGGAATTTTGATGTAGGCCCTTTTTCCCCCCACCAACTAAGTCTTTCTCTAGGTAAAGACCAAAAATGGATTTACAGTTTTGTACTGCAAGAAAACGTTTCGACGACCTTTGTCATTGTAGAGTACCTTTCATGGGAAAGTAGTGCAAGATTTAATTATTTTTTACAGATAATATGTATCACTGTTAAGACAAAGTAGACTGGCATTTGGTGGTAAATGGCAAATGCACATGCTTTGCCCCAGAAATGTTGGGAGATTTGGCTGGAATTGAATGGTTGAAACGATATGCGTGCGAGGATGGGGAGGCACATTATGATGCAAAAGCAATCAAGTGGATCCTAATTTTTCCCCACTAAATGATATACTTCATTGACCAGGAAAGTTCTTCTCTGTGGCTAGTTGGGTTCGATTATATGGTGAATTTGTTGGCTGGATCAGGTGTGAAATGCCTGATAGATATGATTCATTTTGGCAAGATCGTGAGTCAAAGAGGGTCCATATGTGATTAATTATTCAATTAATTAATTAATGACATCCTAGATAGTACTGGTCCATATGTGGCCCTTATAGGCACTGTGCTTTGTACGGGCTTTCAAGACGAAGATTACAGCATAGGTTAAGATTATTTACCTTCTCATGGGGCGGCCAGGACATATTTGATGCTACAGAGATTTTCTAATTATGATCTGAATTATGTGCGTCCCTAACATGCGATTCCCAAACGTTTTGTTTTCACATCGGAGATCTTAATGATTGCACATATAATTAACTTGAGAAGCATGGTCACTCAAACCTCGTCCATCCTCCAACATTTGCGTGCATAGCCACGTAAAAACGACCCCTGGAATTTGATTTTAGTATGTTTTGACTTGACCCTGACCACTTCTGTCTATTTAAGTAGCAATATGTAGGGGAAAATCTTGCGGCTTGATTGGCATTCTGGATTTTTCTATTTCCTGTGCGATCTCGGACGGGGTTATCTGATTGGTTGAATGATCATCAATAAATTACCACCTCCCACAGATTTTGGTACACATTTGTATGGACATCCAAGCTAATGAAGTTGTGGCTTGTTATATGATAATGTTGGTTAGGGTCATTAAATATTTTTCAGAAGTTCGAGGAACAACTGGGGAAGAAAATTTTGGGGAGAGAGGGTCTACATTAGAAGAATTATATGACCTATGCAAATTACTTATAAAAAATCATTTTATGTTTTTCTATGGTGTTCGGAAGGGCTGGAATCCACCCAATTTCTTTGGCTCCACGAAAGTAGCAAAAGAAAAATCGGATTTCGCAATTTAAGCAACACGATGATAAAAATTTTGAATAAAATCATTGTCGACTATATGGACTACAGAGTCAAATATAGTAGAACTCCTACAATAACTCAGTGGCGGTCAACGAATGATTTGGTGAAATACATATACAACGAAGATACGTAGGTCAGAAGACAATGTTGACACGCGCCGTGTAAAGGAGAGGTTGCCTCATCAAATGCTGATTCAACTCATACGGACCATATGATTTCTTCTCCAAACAAGTCATAAGACGACATATGATTTTCTACTACCATATTGGTGGCAGTTGATGATCCAACTTGTTGGACTTTTGACTTGAATCTCTGGGTTTAGGTGGGTATGGTTAAACCATGGACCCCCTCCTCCTCCCGTGGATGCTCACTTCATCACTTCAACCGGTGTCAACCACAAAACCCTAAAACTTGTTCATCTCGCACTTGATCTCCTGTGGCTATCTTGTGCGGATAGATTGAAATTCTTAAATTGCCAAGGTCGTATCTAAGGGCCAAAAATCTGTTTCAATTTTTTGGATTGCCAATGTGACACGCAAGATCAAATGCTGGCTTTTCCTGCTTCCATGTGGACACAAAAATATATGGCCAGATATGCAAGACTTGCAAGGTAAGAGTTAGAGTATTTTAATGGATTAGCATTTGTCTGCTTGTATGCAAAATCCTTCGTGGAAAATATATATCTATATCCATAAGGTGAAGGAAATGATGTACCCAAAAAACGATTATAGTATTAACATTGAGGTGATCACTGAACACGAAAAATACAGATGCTGTTCAATCGTAATTCCCCAACAATATGCCTAATGCAGAATCAATTACGTACGGCTTCTTTCAACCTCAAGGCCACACCAAAGATGGGTCAGGTGGAAGACAGTATTGCATGGCACTTTGTTTAAACAACTCGTTTCCGGATGCGTAGGTGAAGCAGTTTGATTATTTTACACTTTTAAGGTGTCGCGCAAGTTGGGGTTGTGTTTTCCTAACGCACCCTGAGGAGGGTGATATGGTGGCATTGCTTGTAAGTATGGAACTGTCTGGTTAAAACCCAGGAATCGTAGCAAAAGTGTTGCGAGTTTCATGATCAGATGACTCCCGGCCAAGCTATAAGCGACTTCACATGTAGTAGTTTCCCACGACAGGACCACGATTGCAGCGACCGATTGTCGCACATCATGCAATCTGACATGCGGCTAACATTAAGAGTTTGCTAGGAAACCAAATTCGTAAAAGTGGGTTTTATGGGGCCGTATGTATCGGCATCGTCTGTGCTTTTAAAATCTTCGTTGATGTGAAATTCTTTTGCAGCGTTTGTATCAGTTGGTGATATGATATGTGACAATTGAAACTGACAAAGTTGACAGTAACCATATTAAGAACACTTCTTGGACTCAAGTTTTCCTACTTAGAATTCCCTATTCTATCGCGGATTTTCCAAGTAAACTTAAAAGCAAGGGCATTCATGATTTCGATGACATAATAGGGACGAGAATTTGTAGGCCTATTTGAACATTAAGTCAATCTCGCTTGACTCTTTTTTAATCGACACTTGGCTCATTACTTGCTCTTGTTAAGTACGCTAAAGGATCATGAATTGTCGAAAGACAAAGCTTTCACTGCCCACTAGAACCGGATCGGAAGTTGATGAAATTCAATTTAAGTTGTACTATATCACGAAAAGTAGTACTAGCTTATCAACCATATTCAAAAGAGCAATTCCGACTCTGGGAGACTCACATGAACAATTCTGGAGAAGATTATTATATGTGAATTGAACGAAAACGCGATTTTCACAAATTTTTAATGTATTATATACAGATTATCCCGTCATTCTTTTACATATTTCATATATTTGTCACAATTGATTTGGACAGTTGGTTAATTGCTCAAAATATAATTTCTCTATTAACAGTCATAAAGATGGGTCATAAAGTACTTGAAATTACTCCTTAAGGTAGAGTTAGGCAGAAAAAGTAATATTTCGTAAAATCCTTAACCTCAGCATAAATTGCCCGTTAATTATCACACTAGAAATCAGAAGAATAATTCGGTTTCTCAGGGACATCAATTAATCCAAATTTTCACCTCAAAAACATTTAGTACGATATCTTTCAAATTCAACAGCTATGATGTACTTGATTACTGTATTTTGGTCTGTTTATAAAATGAAAATTGCTTTCCTGTTTCTTCTACGGGTGTTATGAACAGAGCCCCAAGGTATATAGTCAAAAGACCATACGCACCCATGTGCTTTCTTGTGAATACAAAACCATATGATATGCAAAATATCATTCATCTAACCATAGTGTAACATTTAATTATGACCATGCCCGAATTCGTCAAGAGGGTAGACAGGGAGTTCTCACCAAACAGTGATATTTTCATCCATTAATCTAGGGTTTCTGAAAAATCAATGCAGCCTATGTCCCTCTGAACTCTAGGCGATTCAATTTATCATCAAACTAAACTATGGAGATCATTGTTTAAGGCTGCCGTCGGACGACTTTGAAGCCCCACAACCACTCCACAATCCGTCCCACAAAACATTAAGATAAAAGGAGAAACAAGAAAGGAACAAGCACAATACAAACTCCTTTTCACCTTCTTTATTTTTTAATTTTTTGGAAATCCTTTAATTATTACAGAATGGTGCGTCATTGCAATCCACGTTCACACTAGAGCTTGTGATTAGGGGAAAAGCGTGAGCGATATTGCATCATCATTGCTTAAGCATATGCTTTAAAGCGACCCCCGAGCTACCAAATTGGAGTTAATCTCCAAGGGTTATCAACATCTTCCCCCTTTTCCACTTTCTTTTTTTTTTCATTTTCTTTTCATTTTGTCCTTTTGGTTTTAGTTTTCTCGGTTTAGCATTTAGAAAGTATGAACATGTGTGCACCCAAAAAACATGCGATTGCGCAATTAGTGCGTAAGGCATTCGTCATCAACAGTGGGACTCAGGCATCACAAACCACTCTTGTAGCAAAAGTAAGCAGATCATGTTTTTGAAGCGACACAAAAGAAAAAAGAGGAATACCCTCTCGAGAAGGGGAGAGATTAGGCCATGTTTTAGACGAGATCAGCGAGCGTGCATTGGACCAATGAAAGCGTAATCGACTCCGTGATTAAGTGTCGCCATGACGACACGGAGCTGGGAAAAAGCTACTTTCTTCTTTAGAAAACGCAGAGGTGAAGAGGTTGGTCGGGAAAGGAGACTTGAAAGAGGACTCGGTTTGGTGAAAACCGGTCAAGGAAAACAAAAGGGCCAACCAGATGTCTCGGGAATAGACGAAGATATGCGCATATGTAGCAACCTTGGACTTTGGAGGGACGATAAAAACAGGAAAAAACGTTGGACAAAAAGGGGTGGGGGGACCCGTTGTTGTTTGGTAAGGATAGAGGAATCTCCCCCGTGCGATTCTCGTGCGACTGCAATGGAAAATTCTGTCCGCGGGCGTGCATCTTTCAGGTGAAAGAATTCGCGCGCCGAGGGGTGAAGGTCATTGGGCGATAACCACCACCTGCCGCCCCCCCCTGTGGATCAAAGGTCGCTGTCTATCTGTTCGATCGACTTGCTCTCCAAGTGCGTAGGTCGCCAAATTGACTGCGACATGAAGCTCGGTCACTGAGGGGGACTCGCACGTCTACTTTTGTTCACCATACCAAGGGCGGTTGGATTATGGTGGGAAAAAGGTCATGTCAGTTTGTCACAACCTCGAAACGATGTCGAATAGTAGTCCACTTCAAATGATCCGGATCTCATAACTCTCGCTCTCTTTGTAATTAACCGCGTTGCTGTGCAGTGTGAAACCCTTGGAAGGTGGAGCTTTAGGGAGCCCGTATATGAAAATGGCATCGTTAAGTTGGCTCATGATGTTAAAGCAAAGCTTTACCGTAAGCTTACAAATCCAGTCTAAAAGCTTAGCTGGCCCTCAAGGAACAATGAAGCCAATCTAAACTTCGAAACGATGGTTAGGCACGAGGATTTGGTCAAGACTCCAAATATGAAGTTCCTCCGAAGACGGGAACCAAATGAAGTTCTGCTGATTTTACGACACAGCAAATCTGGGTCGATGAGCAGTGTTCTCGTATCCCATCAAATTTGCAATCTTTAAGAAGGGAAGGCTCGAAATAACTTGGAAAGTGTAAATAAATCACACTTTTCCCGTGACGTTAGTCAGCTTATATCTATCGTTTCAAAAGCAAAATCGAGATGTTCATCTGAGATCCCTACCAACGGAAAAATGTTTACAGACGATGACAACCCACATTTCAGATAGCAGCACTCTAAAACCCCTCCACTCTGATAAACCAGGACCTTGGACCCCGAAACCAGTTATTACTGCATCGGAATTTTTCACTTGGATCCTCCGAACTTGCTCATCATCTTTGCAATTATAGGGGCCACTTTTGGATTTGCCTGATGCTTTGCCAGATTGGCAGGGTTCTTCATTACTGCAAAACCATCAACACAGAAACAAAAGATGACAGTTAAAAATCTCCAATAAGCCGCACAAGTTCCTACTAGAAGTAACCAGAATCTTCTGTCACAGAAAGCAAAATTATAAGTGCAGATGCCCACGGATTCATTTGCTATTCTTCAGTTGTTGGCTCTAGGTTAATAAACTTCCAACAACGGTTACTTAATGCTCATTTCCTTTTATGCTGAGTGAGAAAATAACCACACGACTTAGACAATGGGAAGTAACATGTTCTGAGATTACTTCGATACCGCTCGTGGTTACCTTACCAGTCAATGAAGTAATATCACCATATTCTAAAATCTCAAGGTACTAGTTCCTTACAGAGGACACGTAAAACTGCTAAATGAAATCTCAGTGAAATGAGAGATATCTCAATAAAGTGCAAGAAATAGGACCATAAAAATAATGCCAGAAAACAACAGTACCATCCTGCATAGCAGCCATGACTTCTGGATCCTTAAATGCAGCCATAAGATCAGGATCCTGCCCCAAATGTTCAGTAAAAATTTCATCAAAACGAATGAGAAAAGGCGAAATGGAACAGAAAAACTGACTACAATATGATCAATGAATGATCCACCAAAACAAATCATAATTAAATCATCAAACTTGCACACACCAATTCATGTCTAGGTCTTTATTCTAAAAGTGAGATATCCATATTCCAGCACACTTTTTTTTTGTTTTGCTGAGAGAAAAAGTACATCGTGTTTTGCTAAAATCAACATATCCAGGCATTACCATCCATTATCCAGCCCACTTACATTTAGTATTTTGCTAAAATCAACATTTCCAGGCATTCCTCCTGGCATGCCTCCTGGGAAACCTCCAGGCATTCCTCCTGGCATTCCTCCTGGCATGCCGCCCGGGAATCCTCCAGGCATTCCTCCTGGCATACCGCCCGGGAAACCTCCAGGCATTCCACCTGGGAATCCACCGGGCATCCCACCTGGGAATCCACCAGGCATACCACCAGATGGTCGACTGGATGATGAATGCTCTTGTTTCTTTGCCTTCTCATATGCAGCCTAGAGGAAAAGCACAAAATATGTCACATGGGAAATATAGCAAGAAAAATATTCTAAACGACTGAACATCAGGATGATGGACCAATTACCTGAGCCTCTGCACGTCTACGCTCTCTCTCACGCTGAATCTTTCTTTCTTCCTGCTCCTTACGTAATCTGTCATACTTCCTCCGATGTTCCTCAATCCTATGTGCATTTGGTTCAACCTGTGTCGATCAAAAGTTGCACACGATGGAATCGAACTTAATGGAGCAAGATTTGAATCACATAGCAATCCTACATTCCAAAGATGTCCAAAAGAAAAGCCACATGCAGGTTCTCATGAAACCCCAACCAGCAAGTGCGGATCACAAAATCAAAAGGTGACCCCACCTTAAACTGTCGCTCATCAAAGTAAAGGCCTACATTTCACGACAAACCAGCAACAGCCAGTGTGAAAGGTGCATAAAATGATTTTGAGGTCAACCTACATGTGATAATTTTTAACTTTGGGATAAAATTCTAAAGGGCATTTATTGGCCTTCTACAAGCGATCTACAATAAAATAAGAGGCATCTTATCTAATCTGTAGCCATCTGAATTTAATCTTGAGAGCAAAGAGTGCCCAGTCCAGAAAATCCTCTTTTGCTTCAAAACCACAGGAAACAGGCAAAAGCAGAGCCCTGTATATCTGTGTCTAAAAGACATTTATTGGCCTTCTATATGCAATCTAGCTGCAACTAATCTAGAGTGCAAAGAGAGCTCCTTCTTGTCACTTTTTTAGCCATCTTTACCCATTAAGTGTACTGAAATAAAAAGGAATGTCAGACGAAGTCCACCCCAAAAGATGCAATGACCTGTCTATTTGACGCAAGACAAGAAGACAAGCAAGATTTAGAAACCTGAACATATGGATATTTAAAATCATCTGTCAATTATCTCATTTATTTTAATAATTTCAAAAGCAAAAACTGATGTTTGATTTTGGCAGGAAAATCAGAAACTTTTTGCTCAAACAGGATAGAATAGACAAACCCAAAGATGCACAGAGAGAGAGAGAGAGAGAGAGAGAGAGAGAGAGAGACCTTCTTAAGTACAGCATTTATTTCCTCATCGTAATCTAGCTTTGATGCTAAATGAAGATCCTTTGCAGCTTCTTCCCACTGACCAAGCATTGCTCGAGCCATGCCACGAGCCTTGTAGCCTTTTGCAGAATCCGGATTTATCTAGATTAACAAACTACATGAGCATGACAACCCAAAATTGAAGACTCCAAGGTCAATCCCACCCATAAAAGACATCTCAACAATGTTAAGTCCAACACCAAATAGGGAAGCTTAAAAATTAATAAGTTTCCTTGAACAATTCTCAGCAATTAATACAATTACAAGAACAATAAGTAATGACGAGAATGTCCGCAATTTCGCAATTATTGTGTAAATGCACTTAAGCATTTTTGTGCATGTATTACTTTATATTGTGCAGTGCGCGGTAAGCACAATTACTGAACTTTCCATTGCTCATGAAAACACGGTTGCAAATACTTTGAACAATTAAAGTAGATGTTACCTCTAAAGCTGCATTTGCGTCCCGGATTGCAGCATTGGGCTTCTTCATTTTAATATACACAGTAGCTGTAAAAGCATCAATAACCATGTGCTGACATGAGGTAAATAACTTAAAACCAAACGAAAGGATATAAATTTTGGGCAGTCACTTCAAAAACTCAGCCAGCTTCTTACCTCTGGTTCCATACATGATTGCAGAGGTTGGATTGAGTGTTATTGCCTGTGTAAGGTGCTCAATCGCTTCCTCCAAGTTTCCTGTAGAGGACAAATCAGCATACCAAAGAGAAAATTAAGCAAGGCCAACAGATTCAAGGAGCACACATAACCCTATCATTGCAAGGTTGAAAAGTAATTGTCAGAACCTTCAGAAAGGGCTTCCATGGCTTGTGCCTTTGCTTCTTGAGAGGCCTCACGATTCTCCTCAGAAACTTCAAGCGATGGATCTCCCATCTGAAAAATCAATTAACAAAGGCACTCCATATCCATTCACACAGCAAGCTCAATAATAAAGTAGGCCAAAAGAGGGAAAAGAAAACGTTAAAAAGCACGAAGATTCCTCGGGTCTGTGTTAGAGGTGAGAAAACCTTCTGGGGAGGCTCGTCATCAGGCTCGACCGTCTCGCCTTCGAGCTCCATATCCGACTCGATAATCTCATCCTCCTCCTCTTCCTCCTCCACTTTCACGTGTCCGCCTTCAGTCTCCTCCATATCCTCGTCGCTCTCCTCCACCACATGGCTCTTCTGCAGCAGTCCACAATCCGAAGCAAAGTATCAATTAGCATGGTTACCTCACAAGCATACCTCTCTCGCTACCGCGAGAAAGTACACGACCTCAAATGCAGCGGCATCAACCACCCCATGTCAATTGGTTCCAAACAAAACCAAGCGATTACGATATGTATTCAAACAAAATGCGTAGTACTGTATCATTATCGGCTTGTGATGCTGCTTCACAACCTTTAAGTCCTTTTTTCTCCAACTACACTGAAAGATGCATGCACTCGACCATTTCACGCTATGAAAATGCGTACACGAGCGAGCTCAGCGTCATTCTACGTCAACCGCCACAAAATCGCAATCAATCGCTGATCTCAAGCGAACAAGACTCAGCCAAACGCTATATCAGAAAGCGAATCGAGCCGAAATCCTGTAAAGTGCAAACAATCGGACGAATCCAAACACGTAAAGAGCAGGCTCGAGCGGTGCGACTTGCCGATTTAGATTCGCCGGGCTTCTGAGCAGCGGGAGGGACTTGAGCTCCGAGGCTGAGACAAAACATCAGAGGGAAATCAAGAAATGCGAAGGGACGAGCATGCCGGACGAGGCTCGGATCGTCGCCGGACGAGCTGCTTGCGTTACCTCTCGAGGTAGTCGCGGAAGAAGGCGAGCGAAGGATCGGCCAGGACGGCGGGATTGGACTTGCACATGTCGACGAACTGCTTCAGCTGGTTCACCTTCGCCGGATCCATTTTGTTCTCCTTCGGCGATTTGTACGGGCGAGCGAGCGATCGATCGCCGGCTGGGGCTCCGGATTGCGGTGGCGATTTGCTCCGATTCGGTTTTTGGGGACTTGCAAGAAACTGAAAAATCTGTGAGCGGCTTTGACAGTGGGAAGACCACTCTCGGGGCGAAGAGGGGTTTTGGGGAGGTGCTTCTAGTAGCTTCTACTGGATGAGGCACAAGCATTTTCCCACCCTTTCCACGTCAGCACGCTTCCAAATCGAAAGAAATTAGGATCATACACAGAAGCTTCAAAAAAGATTTCCGAAAATAATAATCGAGCCCTAAAATTTTTAAAATGTGCATTTAAATTTTAGAATTTATCAAAGATTTTGCGCTATTTTCAACCCTTATGAGTTCCTTACACCCATTTATCATGTTGAATTGAGTGCATTACTCTTTGCTGATCGTACTCTTGATTTAAGATTATTTCTTTCACTTTTGTTTTCTTCTTTTTCTTTTTGTTTCCATTTTAATAGAGACGAACAATCAAGGCTACTCTCAAACAATATTTATTAAGGTTATATGTGAGGCCCACTCTCGATTTTCAGATTATTTATTACCTTCTTTACTTCTTTTTTTGATTTTTTTTCCTTTCTTTCTCCGTTTGGAACAAAATTGGTGTTCCTCTTTAGGATTACTTTGTCTCAACGAAGAAGGAATTTGGCAAGGAGGTACACCGGCTTTAAGCATCTCCTTTGCACACGCAACTTCAACTTCAAAAAAGCGATGACAAGTAGAATGTCCGGACATATTACTCGAAAGATTATGATTGTGTGATACATTCAATATTTAGAGTGACCATGATCCGTTCTTCTTTTTATAGCAACGAATAGTCAATCAAATGAGATTCAGTCTTTCTTCTCAAATGTGCAATAGAAATATTATCTCGATCACGATAATCACCTCCCCTATCGCAACCAATCGAGAAGAACATATCTGTCTCTCTTACACCTTTTTGTCAAAGACAACATCACCTTGAGCAAAAAGATATGTCTGCACACTAGTCAAAAGATCTTCTCATGCTAGAAAATTAACTATTAAAGTTTCAAATGAACTTGTTGACTATTGTTCTCCATTTGAAGTTTCATCATTGGAGCAATTTGAATCCTATTGTCTTCCATAATAACTACACTAAAAAAAGAATAGAATGAAATATGTATAAATTATGTATAATGCATACGATTAACCATAGTATAACCATAGTATTCAATCTTCTTGTGAATTGATCCACTCTTTTTTTGGTTTTTGTGTTCGATCTCTTTCCTTGTAAATTGCGTTTAGAAAAGTCAATATACTACTTACCTTACCAAAAAAACCGTAGTATTCAATCTTTAAATAAGTTTTTGTAATTTTGTATTAAAAATCAAAGTCGAAAAGTTCACGATCTTGAGGAAAATTAACGGAAATGAAGTTAACAATTTGTAGATAAAAATAACCTTTCTTTGTTCAATGTATCATTATTGATTGCTCGGATTACAACAACGGAGAATAAGTTCAAAAGAAAACAAACACGAAGGATACGTTGAAATGTAATAAGTGTGGAAGAATCGGCTAGGGTGACAAAAAAGTTGTTTAAAAGGGATGTGAGTAATTTTGTCTTTTAATAAATTGAAACAAAAGAAAATGAAGAAAAAATATAAGAACTAATCATAAATCAAGGGTGGGATCCGCAAGGAATAATGTAGCCAAATCAATGTAATATGGAATGTTATGAGCTAATAAAGGAGTAAAAATAGTGCGATCCTTTTATATCATATTAAAATTTTCTTTTGAAAAGTGTAAGGATTTAGGCACTCCCCTTGCTTCGCTGGCAAGAGTCGGCAACCCATATGCGGCGGTGGTGCACCGCTCGCCACCACGGCGCGAGAGTCGACAACCCTCGCGGCCTCATTGCAAGAGAAGTTGCCACTTCTCCAGTCACGAACCTTAAAATCTCACAAAGAAAAGAACCGCTTCGTGCTTCTTTCTTCCCTCCTGTGAGACAGAATGTTTGCCCCCATCTGTTGTAGGAAACACAAAGCCCCCCTAAGAATCAACAGATTTTAGTGATAATCTGATATGATCAGCAGCAATCATTTTCAAGGGACTCGTCTTTTCTTTTCCGTTCTTTTCTTTTCTTTTGCCTTTTCTTTTGCGTTTTCTTTTCTTCCCTTTTGCTTTTTTGCTTTTTTCCTATTTTCCTCTATCAATCAGGGTGGCAACGATGCCGGCGACTCGCCTGCCCTCACGAGCCACTGAGTGAGGGTGTCGTGGCCTCGCCCAGTGACCGATGAGGGTGTCGCGGCAAGGGCCGCAAAGCCCTCACCTCGAGTAGATTTGGCAAGGATTGCGATCCTCGCCAACGGTGGGAAAAAGGAAAAGAAAAAAAATTCAGAAAAATATATAAAAAATAGTACAAATTGTGCACATCAGTGCCGGCTATGTCTTGTAGGACGGCCAACTTCCACGTTAGCAATTTCCCATCGAAATTTGCCGAAAGAACTAACTTGGTAAATCATCAAAATGTTTACGACTAAATGAGTACAATTGAAATATTTAGGAATTGATCGTTGTACAATAAGTTTAGGATTTCTTGAACAATTATCTCAATTTTTCTATTGACTCATTTTTCTAATCAATCCAAACGCTGGAAAAATGGATAAAATATTTTCCAACAATAGACATTTCACAAAATAAAAAGGACCCTAAAAGTTAATTTTCCTTTGAAAAACTTACTAATCGTATGAAAATTTATCTTCTCCATGGGGTCGATTTCTTTTCATCTAGAAGAAAAAGGTTCACCATATCGATACTCACGATTAAGTGATTCTCTCGTTCATGTTATTGATAACTCATCACATTAAAAGGGAAATACATAACTATATGTGAAGGGAGAGCGCGGGTTGTAAAGAATTTCTCAATATATATACACTAATTCTTAAAGAACAATCAGATCCATATATGAATGTAGAACACCATAAAAAAAAATCATAATAATACACACAGCGGAATTAAAGCGTACCTGTTTGAACCATTGTTATTCTCTAAGAAAAGAAATAGATCAACGTTCTACTGAAATGCCGATCTTCCTCTCTTTGGCCTATTTCGATATAGCAGTTTTCAATGGGATAAAGCGACCGATAGGTATAACCTACCCTTTTATAGGCTAGAGAGGGGATCTAGAAAATCCTAATCATTAGTGCGTTAACTGAGCCCCTCCCATCACGGGCTTCAGTTAAACACAATTGCCTACACTTTGCTGCTCAACTAGGCCTGTTATTTATAGATGTCGAAACCCAATTCAATAATATCACTAAAGGGTACAACACATATATTGGAATATCCATTAACCCGAGTATTTAAAATAGAAAATCAATTAATTAATGTAAGCCCATATTATAGGAAATTTCCAACATTCTCCCACTTGGGCTACATTAATCAACCCCTTTTTTTTTAGAATGATTTTATTTCGAAAATGACACTCTCGGGTTAATAACCGAAAATTTGTTTTATGTGGCCACGATTTAAAAAATAATAATAATATTCCAATAATGGCATCTCAAAACCAACCCAATCCTTTATAACCTCAATATAGGACTATGGCGGTCAAAGTGTTAAGAAAATACCGCAACACATGACCTTCCATAATCACATATAATAAGCATTATAATTTCATGGATCATAGGCCTAGTGGTCTAGTAAGAAATAGTGCCAACATGTGATCAAACATGCACTATTCCTTATCGGTCCTCAACGCAATTTCTCAATGACATGAAACTGCATCACCACAATTTCTAAACAATATGAAATTGCCTTAGTACAATTTCTAAACAACATGAAATTGCACAACTATGTCACAATTCAACATGAGATCTCAAAATTAGTGACATCCAGTCATCTTTAAACTAAAATATGTTTAGAGATACTGTTTTATATTTCCATCTCTCAATCGACATAGCAAAAATAATGATGAAAATCAAAAGTAAATGCTTTAATAAAGATCATAATAGGCATTATCAGTTTGCATATAATCACAATATCCAGATAAACAAACTATGCAAAACTCCCACTAACAAAAGGAATCAAAAGAATCTAAAACACCCATATTGTTTACATGTTTTTTAAACAGAATGGGTTGTAAAGCTTTTGTTAGAGGATCAGCCAACATGGACTCAGTTCTAATATTCTCGATCACAACAGCTCCCTTTTTGACCAAGTCCTTAACAATATAATATTTGATCTCCATGTGTTTAGACGCATTGCTGATTTTGTCATTCTTAGAATAAAACACGGTTGCGGTGTTGTCACAATAGATGACCATCGGTCTTGCAATAGAGTCCACAACCCGCAATTCTGAGATCAAATTTCTAAGCCAAACAGCCTGAGTTGAAGCACCATAACAAGCTACAAACTCAGCATACATTGTAGAGTTCGTAATTAAGGTTTGCTTTGTGCTCTTCCAAGAAATAGCACCTCCAGCCATCATGAAAATATATCCAGAAGTCGATTTTCTGTCATCTGAACAACCAGCAAAATCCGCATATGAATATCCAATCACCTTTAGATCCTCTACTCTGCTATAACCAAGCATAAATTCTTTTGTTCGCTGCAGATATCTCATTACTTTCTTAGCTGCAACCCAATGTTCACGACCTGGATTCGATAGATATCTCCCATGAGTATTCACTGCAAAAGCAATATCAGGTCTGGTACATACTTGTGCATACATAAGACTGCCAACTGCACTAGCATATGGAATATTCTTCATTGCTTCTTTTTCAACATCATTTTTGGGGCACTGTTCTATGCTTAATTTATCTCCTTTCACAACAGGAACTTCACCAACCTTGCAGGTGTGCATATTGAATCTTTTCAAAACGCGGTCTATATAACTTTTCTGAGATAATCCCAGAACCTTCTTAGATCTATCACGATGAATCTCAATGCCTAAAACATAAGAGGCTTCCCCAAGATCTTTCATATCAAACTTTGAAGATAGAAAACCTTTTGTGTCATGCAACATATCAACATCTCTACTAGCAATCAAAATGACATCTACATAAAGTATTAAGAAAATATATTTACTCCCACTTACTTTCATGTAGATGCATTGATCAAATTTGTTTTCTTCAAAGCCAAACGATCTCACAACTCTGTCAAACTTCAAGTACCACTGACGTGATGCTTGTTTGAGACCATATATAGACCTTTGAAGTTTGCACACCATATGCTCCTTTCTAGCTTCTTTAAACCCCTCAGGTTGCTGCATATATACTTCTTCATCCAAATCTCCATTTAGAAAAGTTGTTTTGACATCCATCTGATGAAGCTCTAAATCAAAATGAGCCACCAATGCCATAATTATTCGAAAAGAGTCTTTAGTGGACACGGGAGAAAAGGTTTCAGTGTAATCAATGCCTTCTCTCTGTGTGAATCCCTTCGCAACCAATCTTGCCTTGAATCTCTCTATGTTACCTTTATTGTCTTTCTTGGTTTTAAATACCCATTTGCAGCCAATCGGTTTGTGCCCATCAGGTAGATCAACGAGTTCCCATACTTGATTATTTGACATGGAAGTCATCTCATTCTTCATCGCTCCTAACCATTTATCTGCCTGATCACTATCAAGAGCTTCTTTGAAGGTCACCGGATCAACTGTATGTCCAATGTCAAAATCAGTTTCTCCAAGATAGACATGATAATCATTCAAAAGCGTCGGTCTTCTTTGTCGTTGTGATCTTCGCACAGGCACTTCTGGAGTTGGATCATTCATCTGGGGAGTTTCTTCCGTAACAGAATGGTCTATTGTCATATTTCCAATATCTACTTCTTGCTGGGTTTCCTCTCTGCAAATCTCTCGCACGGAGTCATCATTCAAAATGGGCAATGAAATAGAGATTGTATTGTTTGGTTCCTCCCATTGAAAGGATTGAGAGGAACTCTCTTCAGCAACATCCAACTCCAAGAATTTAGCAATTTGAGACTCAACAACTCTAGTGCCACGAGTAGGACAATAGAACCTATACCCCTTAGAATGATTAGGGTATCCAATAAAGTAACACCTAGTAGTCCTGGGTTCATCAGCGAAGGATCATAAATTTTCACCTCTGCAGGACACCCCCAAACTCGAAAGTGGTTTGAGCTTCGTTTTCTCTTCGTCCATAACTCAAAAGGTGTTTTTAACACTGATTTACTAGGTACACGATTCAATATATAAGCTGCTGTTTTAATTGCCTCACCCCATAAGTATTCAGGCATATTAGATCTGCTCATCATACTTCATTTCATCTCCATGAGTGTGCGGTTTCGCCGCTCAGCTACACCATTATGTTCAGGGCTCCTAGGCATTGTATACTGAGCGACGATACCACAGTCCTGTAAATATTTAGCGAATGGTCCCATTTGCTGTCTAGTCTCAGTATATCGCCCATAATATTCACCACCACGATCAGATCTTACAATCTTGATTATCTTTCTTAATTGTTTCTCAACTTCAGTGCGAAATACTTTCAACATGTCAAGAGCATCAGTCCTCTCCCTAATCAAGGTCCTCTCCCTAATCAAGTAAACATAGCAATAACGGGAGAAATCATCAATAAAGGTGATGAAATACTTATTTCCACACAAGGTAGTTGAATATGGCCCACTAATATCTATATGAATTATCTCCAACAGATTTTGACTGCGAGTAGCGCCTTTCTTCTTGACTTTAGTCAACTTTCCCCTCACGCAATCAATACAAATCTCAGCATCATCTGAGTCAAGAGGAGGAAGGATATCAGCTTTGATAAGCCGATTTACCCTTTCTTTGGAGATATGCCCTAATCGTTTGTGCCATAGCAAAGAAGATTTCTCCTTGATCAAGGATCTTTTAGCCACATTATTCTCAACGTTGAAGGAACAATATGGTCTATCGGGAGATAAAGATAATCGATATAATCCATCAAACAGAATGCAATTCCCAATAATTTTAGAGTCATAAAACAAATCCACTCTATTATTTGCAAAATAAAGGCAATATCCAGCCTTGTCAAGCAAAGAGATATCAAGTTCCTCCTAAATCGAGAAACATAAAAGACATTATTCAGAACTAGCTGAAATCCAGAGTCTAAATTCAAAACTACTGTCCCTATATGCTCCACATCAACGCCGATATTATTTCCAACTTTAAGCTTCGACTCCCTCGGACTTGGATTCCTTAGATTTGTGAGACCCTGTAAGGTAGTAGTCACATGTACAGTAGCACCAGAATCAATCCACCAAGAATCCAAAGGAACATCAACCATATTTGATTCAGAACAAACCAACAACTCACCTTGGCTACTTTCTTTCTTTGCTTTTAGCCAAGCTTTGAACTTATAGCAATCAGCTCTCTTGTGACCCTGCTTCTTGCAGTGAAAACACTTAAAATTCTTATCTCCATGTTTCCCATTATTGCCAATTTTCTTGAAGCCTTGATCTTTCTTAGGGGCATAAGCATTCGACCCTTTAGGCTTCCATTTTCCTCTAAAGGAACTCAACTTGGCATTAGTAATCAAGTGGGCAGATTCATTCTTCTCCTTCTTTAACTTTTCTTCCTCAGCCACACATTTAGTAATCAAAGCATTAACACTCCAAGTCTCATTCTGAGTGCTATAAGCAGTTTTAATCTGACTGAAATCAGCAGGCAGAATATTTAAGGCATGATGCACAACATAATCTTCAGAAAGGACAATATTATGGGCCTTAAGCTTGGATTGAATATGCACCATCCTCAATATAAATTCTCTAACACCCATAGCAGCATCATATTTCATACTAGTTAACTCACTCAGCAAATTCCCAGCCTCAGCTTTGTCTGAAACTGATATCTTGCTCCCACTGCTGCAAGAAACTCTCTCGCATTTGCTTTTTCTGGCAAACCACTAATGAGATGCTCGGCAATGGACCTCTTCATAGCAATGAGGCTTAGTCGGTTGGATTTTTCCCACTTAGCATAATGAGTCTTTTGATCTGCAGTGCTTTGATCATTGGGTTTGGTAGGTTCATCCTCACGCAGAGCTAAGTCCATATCCACAATTCCCAGAGCAAACTCTATGTCTTGTTTCCATCTCTCGAAGTTCGATCCAGTTAACATTTCGACAGTAGCATTATTGTTGTTTACAGCAAAAGTAACTGTTTGAGCCACATACAATGCAATAAGATCAATTATGGGCAATAAACAATTCAACAAAATAATTAGTACACTATAAACTCCCCTTTGGGCAGAGTATATAATGCACCACTATTTTCCATAGCATGAAGATTACAACAACAAGGAGAATTACACATAATTGTCAAGGACCCATCCCCTTTGGGCAGACAAATCCTTTAAATTATACATCTCCATTATATCACTATAGAGGGAAATTACACATAACTTTAAAAAAAAAAAAATCATCCCCTTTGGGCAGATAAATCTTTCGAGTTATACATCCCCATCTATTAACATGGGTACTTATCTTCAAGCAATTTTCAAATTAATACACACAATAACCCCCTTTGGGTAGGTGATTGTATATATTAATTCTTATCAAAAAGGAACTGCAAAAGTTCCATTCAAACAATGCCCACAATTCCATTAGACAATATGAAGCACTTTACGACATGTGCTTCTAAGGATCGTATTGCATTTAACAATAACGTGGCAATTACAAGGTGGACATCAAATATAATATGGAGGACTCCTTTAGGGAGTAGAATTACTAAAGATAACATATCTAATCTATTCTAAGAGAATGCAAATCAATTCATGCCCAGAAATTGCCTAAATCAGAAAATTGCCCAAAAACCCATCCAAACAACCTTGAAATGCCGAAAACCATCATAGTTCACGTCCAAAGGCAGTGAGTTTGAATTAGAAGGCCATTTTGCTTCAACCGATCGAATTTGAGCACAATCTGAGCTATTTAACCTAAAAAAAAGGTGAAATTTCCCTAATTACCGGCGATCGTAAATCTTAAGCGCCATCTGTTCTATATCAATTATTCGCTGAAAACATCTATCGAATAACCTAACAAGATCCGAAACAACACCCCCTCCGCTGTTTATAGCGGTCCAAAAAACCACAATCTATTCACGCAGGAGGACAAATTATTAGCCACACATGAACGAAGCTATTTTAGATAATCAGATCTCAGCTTTATGCAACCAAGATGTTCAGAAACATGTAGATAGCGACATTCAATCGAAAGAAAATCGAAATCTTAGGATTCATTCAAACAAAAAAACATGTACCTTAGAATCGGAAGTAATCAAGAACTGGTTGAATATTCGAGTAAAAATACGATTTTTATTAATTTTATGGATTCTACAATCATATATGACCAAGCTTTGATACCACATGTAAAGAATTTCTCAATATATATACACTAATTCTTAAAGAACAATCAGATCCATATATGAATGTAGAACACCATAAAAAAAAAATAATACACACAGCGGAATTTAAAGCGTACCTGTTTGAACCATTGTTATTCTCTAAGAAAAGAAATAGATCAACGTTCTACTGGAATGCCGATCTTCCTCTCTTTGGCCTATTTCGATATAGCAGTTTTCAATGGGATAAAGCGACCGATAGGTATAACCTACCCTTTTATAGGCTAGAGAGGGGACCTAGCAAACCCTAATTATTAGTGCGTTAACTGAGTCCCTCCCATCACGGGCTTCAGTTAAACACAATTGCCTACACTTTGCTGCTCAACTAGGCCTGTTATTTATAGATGCCGAAACCCAATTCAATAAGATCACTAAACGGTAGAACACATATATTGGAATATCCATTAACCCGAGTATTTAAAATAGAAAATCAATTAATTAATGTAAGCCCATATTATAGGAAATTTCCAACACGGGTATCACACGACATGTAACAAAATATATCAACAAAATTGGAATACATGACTTTATGTAGTCGATAAACTCTCTGTTTGTGATAAAAATGATGCGACGAAATCATAGAGCATCATTGACACTAAACTTAAACAATCAATGTTTGAGCAAAGGCTGACAAAGAAACCGATTGAAAATCTCTGTGTGCTCTCAGGAAATGCGATGCTCCTCGGAAGCAAAATGCTCAACAAACTCAGTCATTTCGTACTTCCGGCATGTCTCAATAAAGCATCACTGATGCCCAAATCGACAAGAGGAACCAAGAAATCCCTGTCCAGGCTCTGTTTCCGCCGTTGTGCCCGCTGCTCCCCGCTACGCCTGTCAACACGAGCGATCTCGATACTCATTTGCCCGCGAATAAAAAAAGTAGCGCGACCAAAACCGACGCGCTCATGAACAATGCCGGAGCGACGATTATCAGTTCGATACTCATTGTAATCTTCACTGTAAATCGCAAAGTTAAACGAACCACATGGGATACGAATGATTCCCAGTGGAGATCATATAACCATGAGTCAAGAGACTGTTCTTTTCATAATATTTTCCTCGTCATGGAATTTTTGACTAAAATGTTGAAAGTATGTTCTACTTTACTTGACTCAACTAGTGCACAGTTTTACTAAATTCAATTTTTAAATTAGGAGAGATGACACAAAACTCCGCTCAACTTTAAAGGTAATGTTTGTTTGTTCCTAACTTTCAATTATTAAGCATTACCCCTTTGAACTTTTATTTCGTTAAAGCCGTTAACCCTCCATTATAATTTCCGTTAGTACGTTCAATGCACATAACTTTTAGAGGGTAATTGCGTATTTTCATCTCATTTATCAAGGAAACCTCTCCTATACCCTTGATTCTATAAAGAAAAAAGAAAAAGAGTAATGAAAATGGAGAAAATTAATTATTAAAATTTAATATTAGAAATAAATTATCCACAATAGTAGTAAAAAATAGAAATTGTTAAAAATCTATGAATATATAAATAAAAGTGGCTATATATATAAATTTTATTAATCAACCATTTTTACATTAATTAAGCCATCAAATATACACAATGAGTAACAAATCTTTGTCATTTTACGTTATTATTATTGAAGCCTTTTTCCTTTTTATCTAATTTGTGCTTATTCTTTTTCTTAATTCTACAAAAGTGGCCACATATATCAAAATTTTTTAAGAAAGATTATTATTTACATTTACTATTGACATTTATCTTTTCTATTATCGGTATTTTTAATTAATTCAATTTTCTCTTATTTTTTATACATTTTACATTTTCGCAGCAATTAGAAAGGCCACTTTGCCCCGTGTTAGTTGGTTGTTGGGCTAGCTTTAATTCCTTGAATTTCACATCTACATTTATCGCTCATTGAATGAGCCGCAACAAAAGATGGGTCCACCGACAAACAATAATATCGCCGCAGGACGATTGATTGCTTTCATGGCCGTGCTAGACTCGAGACCATCGACCGATTTGATCTTTTTCATGTCCGACGTACAACTTTGTGCCTAAAGTTTCGATCAAGATTTCCATTTCTAAGCCTTCGCAGCATGCGCTAAAAACTCGTCTCGTCGGAAACAGAAACGTCCGACCTAAGTAGAACGCGGGCCTAACTTTTTCCGGCGAATTTACAGCAGAGGAAGCGAGTTCTGAGTTACCTGGAGATGTGGGAGACTGAGCAGCGCTCTCTGCAGGGAAACAGACCACAGAACAACAGCAAAAACATCAGTAGACAAGCGGCACATTACTCGGACCAATTCCTTGTTACTTGCACAGATTCATGTTTGCCTCGAGATCTTTGGTGCGGGCGCAACAGTACCTTTGCAGACGCTGGTGGTGGCATTGACGCCGCATCCCTGACCGACCCGGAGGACCTGCGTGACGTTGATGTTGTACTTTTCGAGCATGCCGGGAGTGTTGTACAGGTTGCAGAGGCAGGCGATCGTCGCCGCCTCCTGCGCCTTGAGCGGGTTGCAGCAGCTCGCCGGCGGCTTCGCGGTCGAGTTCAGGTACTGGTAGCACGGCACCATCCGGTTGATGCAGTCCATCGTCGAATCCGCCGACGCGAGGCGGCCCGCGAAGGCCGCGGCGATCACCGCCGCGGCGAGGACGGGCATCGGGATCGAGCAGCGGCGAGCCATCGTCTCGAGTTCTTGGCGGAGGACGGAGGCGGGGGGACGGTGGGGAGGTGGGGGAGGTTCTACCGTTCTTGTATGGAAGTGGGAACGTGGGGAGTGGGAGGGCGGGGGTTAGTTGTTGGGGACACAGGAGAGCAATAAGAGGGAGCTTTAATGATGGGTCGAACTAGATTGAGTTATTATATTATCTACATACCTATGTTGACCAAAAGTCAACGTAAAAAAGATTGCATGATGCCTGTGACTGCCACGTCGGCAATCCAAGAATCAACTCAAGTTAAGTCCTTTTATTGCTTAATCAAGGGAGGTTCGGCGCCGCACCAACTACCAGCTAAACTCAATTCAATGCGACCTACACTTGGCGTGGAGTTCGAATGAGCTGGAGTATGGTCATTGAATGGATCGCGACCCCGATGGCGTGATGGAGCGACGCCATTTGGATATCACTTTGCCAGCCATCGCGGAGATCACCAGCCTTGTTCCGACGAGCAAGGTTGAAAAGGAAAAATTATACGTCACATGGCTATCACTGTCGAATTTTGAATTTATTATCCACATCATAGGTGTGTCCGCTCTCATCACTCGTTACCCTAGCGTCGACCATTGGTGGATCTTCGTCCACCTCCTTTCTGCCCCTCACTACCCCCAAAAAAGTGTCAACTTCGACATCAAGTGGCGCCCGAGCTTTGCACGCGGTGTCTGCTGCCCCCACCCTTTCGTTGCCTCGTCTACCGTATCCGCTCCCCCGTGCTTCCCTGGTCACTCCGCAGCACCGTCGGCGACTTGAGGCTTATCTTTGTCGGCATCCGGATTGCCTCTGGCGTAGTGAAGCTGAGTGGACTACAGCCTGGGAGCGAAAATGGTGATGGATCTCGCGAAGTTGGCAACAAAGGAGCCGAAGAGAGTGGGGTTGACAACGCTGCTCAAGGAGCTCAAGGGGCAAGATACGGAGATTTAGGAAATTGCGCTGGGCAAGTGGGATTTTCAAAAATTTTCAATATAGGTTCCAACAAGCACTTGATGGAAATTTATCTACGGTCCTGAAAACATTTGAAGAATTTCTAATCATAATTTATCTTATCCAAATTCAAATTTGGACGACAAAACATATTCTAAATAGAAGTAAAATCATTTCAGAATTGGTGGAAGTCAAGCACCATCGGTAAAAGGTGTAGTAGTTTTGTTTTTTTTTCTTTTTGTCATGTCTAGATATATTTTTATTTTTCACTTCATGTAATTTAAATCTTACAGTTCCATGACGTTTTTTAAAAGTCAAAACTCTTTCAATTTTCACAATGCTAAAAATTTGACACCTAAAATCACATAATATTTTTCACATAAAAATGAGACTATATCCAAATCCAGACCCGGATAAAAACACACAGGACGCACAGAGACCAGGAGCTTCACTTCAGGGGACTCGCCGGCGCTCCGCTCGGAAAAGGCCGTCGATGGCCGCTCTCACGATCGGCATAGCCGCCGGCACCACCACCTACATGGCCGGCTCAAGAAGCTTTCCACGACTCCGTCACCGGCCGACAAGAATCTCCTGCATCGGATGGGTATGTATCCATTATATATATGTCTCGAACTATCTCTCTTTCCGGAAATACTTCCAACACCTTGAATTCGCGCTCGCGTAGCCTGATGGAAGCTTGTAATCTCGCTCCTCGCTAGGATCCGGAAGGCCTCCTCGGGCCGCCCCAGGCCGGCCACATCGCCCGCCGCGAGTTCCGCCGGCGGCTCGAGAAGGACGCCGAGGCTCGCGAGGCCTTCGAGCAACACGTCCGCGAGGAAAAGGAGCGCCGCCGAGCTGTCCGAGATGTGAGTCGCTGAATCACTGAAGTTGGACTTCGCTTGAGAACGCGACTTTTCGGTAGTTTTGGTCGTTTGGATATGCGTTTTGCGATGGATTAGTTATTTGAATGAAGGTCTTTTGCGTTTTTGATTGGTGTTGACATAGTCTCGGGACGCGCCGGACGCGCCGGCGGAGCTGATCGAGTACTTTCTGGACACCGAGGCTCAGGAAATCGAGTTCGAGATCGCCAGGATGAGGCCACGGTTAGTCGTTACAGTTCGTTTTGCGCTTGACATCTCTGTGATCGTCATTGTCAAAGTTGCAGAGCTTGTACCAGCGACTTAGCTACTATCTTGACTGATGTCTGTTTTATAATGTGTTTCTGGTCCTGCTTTGTTCGTGCATGTATGAAGAGACCCGGATGAATTTTATCGTCAATCTTGCTCAGGCCCTTCACATGTTAAATTATAGATATTCTCGGTGTCAGTTTTCGTATTCTCGGAGGTTGCATCATGTCGTATGATATAGTAGGATTGAACTATTTCTGTTAGTTGTTAACGTAATCATATAGGATAGTTTTTCCCTCCTATGAAGATGTCGGGGATGTGCTAAATTGCTGATATCTGATAGCCCGATAATACGCCAGCTTGTGCGATGTTGTCCAAGAGATTTGATTGCCCAGCAATTGAATGTGGAATGACTCTGATTGCATTAGTCTCTGGTGTGGTAAAGTAGAATCAAGGATACCATACAACCCACGTTCCGCTTGCTCTTTGTTAGACCTTAGTTTCAGGACCTTTCACAGGGAGGATAGAAGGTTTCATTTCGGTAAAAAGTTGCATGTCCTGCATCAGCAATTGTTTGTTAAGTGCGGTAGATGCTGATTATAAGCAATTTGGACAAGGTTGCTGTTAGAACAATTAAAAGGTAGGTTCCCAATTGCTGAGAATACTACATTTGCGGCACTAATTGGAATAGGATGATACAGCTTTCCCTGGAAATCTCATCTATTTTGTTGGATGGCACCTAAGTGACTGATGTTAGACAGTATCTCCTTGCTGGTCAGCTGCTAGAATGCACTTAACTGACTGATGATGTCAGCTCTAAATGGGCAGTGGGCACAGTTTAGTGATGTGCAATCTTGGCTCCTCTGGTGCAGGAAATGTTGGAATTTTATACTCCTAAACTTTATTGAGACAAGTCAATGCATGTTTGAAAATTAGAATGACTAACCAGTCACGCATATGATATCGATGGCTATTTCCTTTTGCATACTGGTGAACTTGTTCTACTTTTGGTAGAAGTTTCAATGGCTACTGTTATGGTATTTTGACGAAGCTATTTCTTTGTTTCGTAATATTCGTCTAGAGACTGAAATGAATTGATTTGCAGGTTAAATGAAGAATTCTTTGCCCACCTAAAGTTTGAATTGGGCCAACTTCGATTTTCTGTTTCAAAAACCGAGGTCTACTATTGAAACTTCTCATTACATTGGTATGCACGATCAACTATATGCTTAAGAAAGAAATGGTGATGGTATTGGTAGGATATGGAAGACAGATTGATTGAGCTGGAAGCTTTGCAGAAGGCTTTGCTTGAGGGGACAGGTCTGCTAATACTAATCAGACACTGATTTTGACGGGATCGACCCATTGTATTTCCTCATGTTTCTGATTGATTAGATCTTTGGTCTAATTTTGTGCAGAAGCCTATGACAAAATGCAGGTTGACCTTGTAAAAGCGAAGAACAGCCTAACAAAAATTTTGACATCAAAAGATGTTAAAGCGACTGTATGTCTTGCTCCATCCATCTAAGCTCTTCTGCATTAGCTATTTGCACATTATTCACTCCAATCTTGTCTGGTCATGCAGTTACTAGAGATGGTTGAGCAGAGCGAACTTAACAGATCATTATTGACGGTTCTTGATGAAAATATAGCAAATGCTCAGAAGGGTAACCAGGTAGAATAGCCTATAATAAATTCCAGTTTGTTATGTGGAACTTTTTCGTTTTGTTGTTTCCTTGATATTGATTTTGTGTAGTTTTGAGGTTGAATGTGCTATGAACATGGTACGGTGATGACGTCATCATAAGATTTATTGCCATGGTAGAGAAGGAAGGGTAACTGAATATCCTTTCAAAAATAGGAGGAAATTGGAGGAACTTAAGTCAGTGATAAAGAGAATGAGAGGTCATGTGCGGGATATTTATTTTTAAATTTCATCTATCGTTGCTACAGAATATACTCAGTTTGCATTGTGCATATTTAGAACTCCAGTGTAAATCTGGTGTCATGGTGAAACTTAATGTTCTGCTAACATCATGGGGTAATGCCCTCGGTATAGGCATGTTGCCATGCTAGAAACAGAGGACATTATGATTGCAGAATATAAATATTGCCATGAAAGTTCACGTGCTAGAGACTGTCTTTTCAGTTTGACATTCCTCATAACTGCAGGGCATACAATTTATGTTTGGTATACAGTGTTCATTAGAATCCACCCAATCTGAACTGAAACTATTTGGTGTAGATGTATTTGCCCAGATGTATTTGCCCATAATATCCGGGAATATCTAAGTCTATTTGCTATATTATCCAGGAAAAAATCGCAGCTTACATGGAAAAAATACGTGCAGCTGTTCTCAAGTATATGACCGTCTAATCCCTGGTCATTCCATGCTATGATCTCTTGATGATGTTGAGTTCATTTCTCAGTTCACAGGTATTCAGTCATCATCAATTTTCTTTCTGAAGTTATGTAGATCACACATAGTTCACTTTTGGAATAGTCATTTATGTGGACGGTAGAATGATGATATTTTTGCTAATGAGCCAGTTAGCTTTAGTTGGTATTTGCCAATATTGTCCAATGACATGGCATATCCTCTCTCATGCCCTCTGTGGTAATATGACACCTCCGGGTAATAATCCATGGTGAAATCCCTGTCCTGCTGGAGTTGAGGTCTGAATGGGCAATTTCCTAGCAAAAAGAGGTAGAAAGTGAATGTGCAACTAAGTGCCTAATAGATACATTAGGTGCATATTGGCACCTCAGTTTTCCCATGCCTTCTCCTCCTTTCAACTGAATTCACAAAATTGGGAACACTGTGTCACCTTAGGGCATTTGTGTTATTGTAAAATTTAGAAAATCACGTTTGCTACTCTTGCTAGCTGTTATAAAAAATGTATGCAACTTTATGGCAACTTCATTTTCCTCGTTTCGGGATAGCACTGCTGCCAAGTCTCCTCGGACAACTGAAACTGGTTTTTGCTGTTGCCAGTTGAACATCACATGGCCACGCTGTCTTTCCTTGGGGATGAAAGTAAGCGGATTTTGTCACTGCAAGTACGATAGATGTGGCCTGCGTTATGGGCTAGAGTTGCTGCTGGATCGAGCAAAATCTAGTGCCATTACTTAATTTTGTAAATGAATGATCTTGGGTGTTAATCCTTTTTTTTTCCCTGAATTTGGGCTGAAAAAATTTAGGTAGTGTATTTCTCTGATATAACCACTTATCTTTCAATGGGACAGGTATAGAGTATTGTCATCCTTAACTAAACTTGTTAGTTGCTTCTTGAGAGAACATTTCAGACGGTACACTCCTAGAATCTACTCTAACATTAGAATCCATTCTGCTGCAAGTTTCTTTAGTTCCAGTCTAGAATCTTCAGGACCCACCTCTACCTAACCACAGGCGCCAAACTGCGTTCATTGCGAAGCGAATACCGGGATCCTCATCCTCGGTCAATTCGACGAGTTCATGAGCCTGGAATGCTTCCTAACCAGTATCTCTCCCACTGCATTATCCGCGTGCAGAAAGAAAATTAACGTCCTCTTGATGGCACTTAACTGATGTTTGGTATATATCTAGATATGATATCCCCATCTTGGACCCATCCGTTAGCCAAACTTTTCAGCTGAGAAAAACTTTTGGCACGCCCGTCCTAGCAATGAAGTAGCATGTGACTCTAGCTTTTCATAGTTAACTGCAATTGACGCTCGGCCGTCTCGCTAAAAGTTTCAATTTCCTTGCTGTCAGTTCCTTTGGGTGACCTCGAGAGTCACAAAATTTTTGGAGGCTGTGGGGACTGGTAAATAGCTGATTGGTATCGAATGTACCCATCGATATCAATCTAAAAAATGGCAATTCAAGAATTTTTTTCGCTTGATTTGAGCGGAAAAGAATAAATGATAAAGTGAAAGACAAAGCAAAAGTAGAAAGCAAAAGAAGCTTATAAGAAGAGGGGCAGCCATGATGCTGCCTGCAAATATGGGCTCCCACTTTATTGCTGGTTTCAGAGGGTTATAGGGGTTATACGATCGAGTGGGACCGAGCTCAACATGAACTTAACTAGACTTGATTTACGTATTTCATGCTCGAAACTTACTTTGAATTCAATCGGCTCGAGCTCGATTTGAGTAGAACAGCCGGATATACGTGCTCAACTAGACTTGATTCAATATAATCAAGCGTCGAAGGAGCTTGATTTTGAACTTAGTAAGCTCGAATCGTTTCTCCGAGTTTATATTTTTGTGAGCCGTTTATACGAGAAACTATTACACATTCTTCAAAAAAACAATCGGGGATGATCATCTGCTCGTAATTTTTTTTTGATACTAAACTTTTCCTCAGAAATATATGAGAGCAAATTTCGCTCGGCTCTCGGCGGCCCATCATTTATTTATACGACCCTTTACACTCTGAGAGCTGCTCCCCTCCCTCTCTCCACAAACAAAAATGGCGAAACCAAAACCGTCTCTCCCCTCCTTCTTCTTCTTCCTCCTCTTCCTCCTACTCTCCCTCGCCGCCACCCCATCACAGTCCTTCGTCTCCAACCGCCCCGAACCAGCCCCCACCAGCTTCATCGTCTCCTCCTGCCGCGCCACCCGCTATCCGGCCCTCTGCGTCCACTGCCTCGCCGCCTACGGCCGTGCCATCCAGCGGAGCGACCACCACCTCGCCCAGGCCGCCCTTATCGTCAGCCTCGCCCGGGCCCGCTCCGCCGCCTCCTTCGTCGTCAAGCTGTCCCGAGCTCGCCGCATCGAGCTCCGCGAGCTTCAGGCCGTGAGGGACTGCGTCGAGAACATGGGCGACTCCGTGGACAGTCTCGCCGATTCGGTGAGGGAGCTCGGGCGCTCGGGTCGGGTCGCGGGCCAGGACTTCCCGTGGCACATGAGCAACGTGGAGACGTGGGTGAGCGCCGCGCTGACGGACGAAGACACCTGCATGGACGGATTCGGAGGTCGGGTCATGGATGGGGCCGTCAAGGTGGCGGTGAGGCGGCGGGTGGTGGATGTTGCTCGGGTGACGAGCAATGCCCTCGCTCTCGTGAATCGGTACGCTTCCAAGCATCTTCCGGCCGCGGTGGTCGAACAGCCTTGAGCGAAGTAGAAGAGAAATAGGTTTCACCTTGTACTTCGGTGCTTTTTTTTCCCCGTTTTTGTGTATAACATGGGAGGTGAGCAGCAGCAGCAGCAGCAGTAGTGTGGTGAGTATTGTTCCTGGCTTATTAGACTTCGTCGATGGAAAACGGCAAAAGGAAAGGAGCAGAACTCATCTTGCGTTGTTCTCTTGCAAGCGACAACGAACCTCTAAAGACTTCGATTGCTTTGTTGGCGTGATATAGCTAGGGCTCTTACTTGTTTATGTGAAGTAGACTCGCTGTACGTGTTCGATTCGCCATGTCAAAGGTTTAATAGTTTGATATTCCGACCGCTAGTCTCGCGTCTTACTTAATCCACGACACTCGAGTTTGCTTTTCATGGGAAATTAGTTTTGTTTGGCGAGTAATAGACAGGTGGAGTATGAATGCCAAGATAGAATTATGCAGTGAGTGACTGGGGACATGATCATTTAATTTTTTGCCTTGGTTATCTGGAGTAACTCTGCCATGGTGTTGGCTCATCCGAATTGGTCAAGCCTCTTAGCTTACATCCGGAGATTGCAAATTGAGTGTGACTACCTGATGCACCCGAATCATATGAGCCCACTTCATACCTTTCACATTACTTTACTAGTTTCATGTGAATTGGATTTACATGCATCGGATGCAGTTAATAATTTCTCAGAAAATGCGGGGACAATTTGAAGATGACCTCAAAATAAATGAGGGGCTCAATGTAAACACCTGAATTTGTTCCGGGTCGATGTGAAATGGATTTCACTCTTTTGTGGTCGGAGATTACAATTAGGAGGGGACGATAAGACTGTGCGATTCGCAGCAATTTTCTTCAATGCTTTAGTTGAAGAACGTAAAATATCTTTTCTTTCACCAGCAGAAGATGCATTCGACGTAATCATCTTTTCCCTTCTTTTCGAGATTGATCAAGCTTATCTTGAAGTGCCATCTGCCACAGGACTGTTTGATGTACTAACTCAAGGGAGCTCCTGTCAAGACTTGCTAAACTAACGAGTAATAAAGGCTGATCAACCCCTTTTGATGTACATTTCAGTGTACACGAATCTTGCTTGTCCCGACGACAGCCGCGAGGCAAAGCAGGAAACAATGAGCAAACGGAAGGTGTTTCTAAAGAAAGTTTAGATTGAACAGACAAGAGCCATATGCGAGTCAAATGATGCCAGTGGAGTACGTTCTTACTTTTTCTCTCTGCAAAAGCTGATAAAGGTAGGTAAAAAGCAGACAGAGGCAGGTAACGCACCAGTGCATCGTGGGGCTCACGTTCTTTGTCCTTCTCTTTTCGTAAGATGCTGTTCTAGACCAGTTTTTTATCAGATTGAATTTCAGAGACTCGTGAGGCGGCTAGACGATTTGTCAGGAAAAGAATTTGTGATCTAATTCCAAAAGATCATGCCCAATGATCCAACCCAAGTCCTCAAGCTTCCCAGATGCGAATCGATTGCTTCTCGTAAAGGTAAGTCCTCCCTTCTTGTCAAAGCATGACCAAAGATGGTATAAGAGATTCATTGCCCTATGATTCCAAGAATAAAAAGGACTGCAAGCATCGTGGCTTGATTAGACTGCAGAAGTTAAAATGTTCACTAACGGGGTCACTTTATCGATGACTGCGACAACCTTTGATGAGCATTGCAGAAGTTAAAATGTTCACTAACGGGGTCACTTTATCGATGACTGCGACAACCGTTGATGAGCAGCTCAAGAAATGATACGAAGCTAAAATCGAAGTGCATTCGAACTCAATATGGTTAATCTACTTGACAACAATGTAACTTGTGCTAGAAAATGTATAGTCCAGAAATCATTGCCAACTCTTTAAAATGATGTATGTGTGCTGATGAAGTATTACGCTAAACCTTGTTTGAGAAGTTTACGGGTCCGACTCATATGAATATGTTTTGTTCTTTTCATCTTGATGATGACCTGAGGGGGATTAGCTATGATCCAACTTGCTCTCTTGAATTTGATGATCATTGATAATGACATTTTCCCTCAATGCAATCGAGTGTTTCCACTCCCGCTAAAATAATTGCAGCTTGGTACGATCAGTTTTGCCTCAGATAGCAACTCCATTGAAATTTCTCAATTATGAATGAATAGCAGAAAGTGAGGGGGTAGTTGGAGAGTTATTATCGTTCTAAAAAAGCATGGCAGGGCAGAATTAGCTCTAGGCACGACGTGATCTTTACTAGAGCTTCTTGACATAGTTAAGATAGAATCAAACTTGGACATGAAATTTATATTCTTTTTAAAGAAGAAGTTACTAAAAATCTCAAATTATACCCGGTGACCTCAATCCTTTAAAAAATATGTTGTCTCACAAAAAAAATCCAAACCTATATTTGTACTCATTTACTTTCCATCAATAAATACCGTTAAAAATCGTACGTGGCGGTTTACATAAACAACGGAATACAAAATGGTGTTGACGTGGCACCACATGGCTTAAGTGAAAGCGCAACGGCATCGTTTTGCATTTGACATGGCTACCCCCCGAGCTCCACGTTCAAATCTCCATTGCTCGAGTGCTTTAGTGCTCATTGTTTAAAACTCGATATGTCCACAAGAACAAGGCCGTTTGCCCGTCTATCTCTCTCACAATTGCTCTATAGAACTCGATTTGGGGCTTTGGGGTTTAATATGCTGCTCAATTTTCTCTCTCTCTCTCTAGGAAGCTCAATTTGTTCAAAGCTCGTTTGCCGGCTGAAGGCGATTTGGGACCTTAGAGTTTAGTATGTTGGTTGATTCTCTCATTCTCTCGTGGAAGCTTTGACCGAAATGCGATTTGTTCGAAGCTCGTTTGGTCGCGGAAGGAAATTGGGGCTTTTCCTAAGGTTTTCTTGCTATATTCGGTCTCCACATAGAAGCTCAACTCGTACGCTTTATTCAATATTTAAAGTCATCACATTACAGATTCGTTGTGGAGCTCTCGATTTACCGACATGCTGTAGAGTATCCTCTTCACCGATCTTTATTTCTGAGGGTCTTGTTTTGGCAATGGATCATTAGTTGAATCCTCTGATTGAAAATTGTTATTTCCCTTCCAATTATTCTGACTCAGAATTTGCAGGTATGATTACCCTAACACTAGCAATACACATTAGGTAGGAAAGATCTTTTCTCCTTCTAACGAAAACAGCTTCAAAAGGACAGTTCTTACCGACAACAAGGTGAAGAGCGTGAGTGGCTAGCACGACGAAATTTAAGCAACTGCACTGTGCTGTTGTTGCTCTTGAAACCATTCTGGAGGCCACCAATCTGGTTTAACTGCCTCAACCTTGAGATCCTCTTGCCCAAGTATGGAAAGCAAACTGGACTTTTTGAGAGCTTCTTCCAACCGTAATACACCAAGACCTCGACATCCTAGAGTGGTCGTGACTGTTCCGATTCTCTTGCCAGAAGCAGCATGCAGGATTTCTGATTTAGGAGCAACCTTCTGCTCTGCTTCTATAACATGGACCAACAGACATCCATCAGATACATATGCCAGGAAAAAGGACCAGCAACAAACACAAAGGCAGAAGATTTACCTTTTCCTTCATCGTCCAGGAACTTCAAAGGCAGCAAACGCTTGCGGATCACACCTCGGTGATGGGTTCGAGCAATCAATTCCTGCCCAACGTAGCAACCCTTGTCGAAGCTTATTGCGTTAAGACCTTCTAGATTGTATTCCAGTGGAATTGCCTCTCCTACATTGAAAAGAGTTGACTGATCAAAGATTACATGGCCGAGAGAGAGGCAATATGCAGTCATAGAAACAGACTCTGCTGCATAAGTAAAGGTCTAAAGCACCAAAATCCATTTATTGTCGATGAAGAGAATCATCATGTGGAAAGAAGAACGCCTCCCGGAAATGTTCAAGTAGTTGTTGGAAAGGGATTTGCAAAGAATATCTGACAAGAAGGTTCTACATCTCATGATACTTAACAAATTTCAACACAACTGATACATCTAAATTGAGAAATTGGGAAACAAGACGAACCTTTGGGAATCTCTGTTGAGCCCTCTGCAACTCCCTTCTCTAGTCTCCAAAGAAGATAATTTTTTTCATCTGTTTCTTTGTCTGCTTCAACCAAAGGAGCTGCAATAGAACAAGATAGAAGCTTAACAGTCCAAGTTAAAAGGTATATGCAGGGAAATGTAAGAAGCTGGCCCAGTTCTTAAAACCATGAAATCGAAGACACGCAAGCATCTAAATTGAGAAAGGACAAGAAACACAAACGTTCTGAAGAAGATGGAAATATTCCTCTATAACCCAGAGAGTCTAATCTAGGATCTTTGAACCACTGCCACCCGATATCATTTCCTTGTGAAGCAGACATAGCGGATTTGTCAACGCCAGCACCCCAGCCAACACTAGCAGCATCTGGCTCCTCTGCTGTTGAGGACTTGTGAGAGTAGTTACTGCCATAACGCTGCCAACAAGAAAAATCTTCGGCTACATTTTCAATATCTACTTTGGCCCTCAATCGGTATCTGCAGCAACAGGATAATGAGAAACTGTAATCACAGACTCAAGGGAAAGTCATCATTTTTATTTTGTTTGGAGGGGCAAAGTTCCTGGTGCTCTTCATATGTTCATCAAAGCCCATGTATTTGCCAGAAAGTTATGGGAAGACAAAAACCAAATGACTTTACATGCATGAGAATGCAGAGGCATAAGAAACTGCCTATAGAAAGAACTAAATTGAGGTCAAAGAGAGGTCGGAGGCAATTCTAAAGATTGCTTTTATTTGATTGAGTTCCACTTCCCAGACTGGGTGAACAAACATTAACTAAGGAAAATTCATCATCCTACCCTGCAATACAGGGGCAGAAAGCTACCGCTTCACAGCATCCACTTTGCCTAAAATCTCCACTTCATATTAATTGGAGAACCCTATGAGGGTAGAATGATATCAAACCAAGATCTCCGCCGTAAAAGTTATCAAAAAGAAACAGTGTTTGACCATCCATATTTACAATGATCTTCATTATTCCAAACTTCTTTCAAGATGCCTTGGACCTTATAAATAGCCTCCGATTGAATATAGACAACATTTGACGGTTAAGATTAAGGTAAAGCACACAACTTCGTGTCCTCCCAGGAGCTTCATCTGCAGCACCAACATAAAGAAGAATGCAGCAAGCTCAATAATACCTGATCCTTACAGACACCATTGGTTCAAAAACAAAAGAAGGATGAAGCGATCCTGAGGGATGAAGGTCAGCTACTACGTGAGTCGTGAGACTGGAGAGCAACACTCTATGACATTAAATAGCCGTTATGAGAAGTTCTTGCAATGATAGAAGAAAGAGGGATGAAGTTTCAGTTTATCCTGGGGACGAAGGTTGGCTATTGCATGAGTGGTGAGAATGGAGAACAAACTACAAATGCAGTTGCACAGAGACATTTCAAAAAATCAATCTTTAAAACATTGGAACAGACGGAATTTATGAGCAGCCCAAGACTCCAGAGAACCACAAAAAATTCGCATTTTCCAATCAATTGCTTTTTAGAGAACCAACTTGTGCCATGTTTGGATGGACAAAACTGAAGGAAAATGAGAGGAAGCTATTCCCAAGAGAAAAAATAGTGACAAGCATACCAACACACGCACAAACATTTCCGTCCTCCCTTCACAAACCATACACAAATTCAGATATTACCCCCCAAAAACAAGACAATAATTCGAAATTTTCAATGAACTCACCTTTTGAATGTCTGCACAACCTCATCCAAGACCTGCGCATCCACGTCCGCGAGCAGCTCGAGCTCCCCGTCATCGGACCCGGGTCCGGAGCCAGTCTTGTCGAGCTTCTCTTCTGGCCTCGCGGGCCTGTACAGAAACAGGTCATACAAGAACCTCCCTTGAGGAGTCAACAGAGCAGCATACAACGGAGGAACCGTGATCACGGGCATGTTAGGCGTGGTCGGGTTCAAAGTCTTCTCGGTGGGGGTTTCACCGAATCGCCGCACATCGTTGCTCAATAGGCCCTGGAGGAACTTGATCGTATCCGGGCCGCTGAACCGGATAACGGACCTGGTCTTGAGCCGGGAGGCCATCGACCCGACATTGTCGAGGTTGTGTTGGTGGTGGTTGCGGCGGTGCGTCAAGTAACTAGACGCGATGGATTTGGGGCACCGGAGATGAGACTTAAACCGGAGCATCTTTTTGTTCTTTTTGGGCGGATCAATGATCGAATGATTTACAGTTTTGGGGTTGAAAATGGAGGAGCAGTAGGACAGGATTGATGGACAAGAGAACGTGGCTGTCGCTTCTACTGGGTGGACGGTGAAATGTGAGGTCTCGGCGGAACCCCGAACAGAGCAGCAATCAGTACGTGAAGGGAAAAGCTACAACAACTTCGACATATGAACAACTTGCTAAACAACTATGCTACATGTATCTTGAACACCTCAAGCTCGAAAATAACTCCAGAGATTCTCAGCTCAGATGTCAAATCAGCAACATATCTGACGCAGTATCTTATTCGATGAGAGCAAAGCAAACCGACCCACTAAAGGAATGAGGACTCTTGGCCATCAAAGAATGGATCAGCAGCTATGTCACCAGCTCAACATATCAAGCAACAACGTACATCAAAGAATGGATCAGCAGCTACACACTCTCTAATCAATACTAATGTCTCAGAGGCAAGCCATCGAACAGGTGGTGAACGTGAAATGCGAGAGGTTCAGTGGACAGATCATTCAATGAATCGGTGGACAATATGACGTGAGATGGTTATCTAGATGTTGGCAGAGACAAATCAATGAATTCGAAGGCAAACGAAGAACGATCGAACGTGAAAGTACTCTCAACCAAGGAAGAACAGAACAGCGATTGAACTAGATGACATGAGAACTCCTACTCCGTTTGATGAATGGACTGGAATTGAGCCGAGAATCAATGGGTGTGGCGAGATGGGCCGGTTCGGTGAATGGGCTTTTCTCATTTAACGGGCTCTGGTCATTTTTGTGGGCTTTATAAATTGGGGTCTGGATGAGCTTTGTGTTAGAAAAAGTCCAAATTGGTCCTTTTATTTTTGTTATTTTTGTTCACTTGCTTATTATTAATTTTTTGTTCTTTTTATTATTACTTATTTTTCATTTTTTTGACCAAAAAGACCGCTTGAATTATCAACTAAAAATCAGATGTCAATTGAAGGAATCGACAAATAGTGCATTCGACAATTTTGGACGTACTCGTCAATGAAGTAACCATCAACACAGTGAAATAAAGTAGCCGTCGTCAAGGTTGTGGAGTCGATGGTAATTGTCGATGTAACTATCTAGTAGTGTAGTCTTAGGGCGCGAATGGTAACCATTCTGCTCCAGAAATCAAATTCTTGCTAGAAATTGATTTCCGGAATTCTCGCCAGAAATTGATTTTTGGAGAAGAAATCTGTTTGATAAAACATGACTAATTCTGCTCCAGAAATTGATTTCTGGAACATAAATCTATTTTTATTTTTTTATTTTTTTGGGCACCTCAAAAAAAAATTTCACTCAAAGTGGGTGCCCAAAGGTATTCTAAGCCATTTTATGAAGTTTTGAAATTTTTGATTTTTTTGGGCACCTCAAAAAAATTAAATTTCACTCAAAGTGGGTGCCCAAAGGTATTCTAAGCCATTTTGTGAAGTTTTAAAATTTTTGATTTTTTTGGGCACCTCAAAAAAATTAAATTTCACTCAAAGTGGGTGCCCAAAGGTATTCTAAGCCATTATGTGAAGTTTTGAAATTTTTGATTTTTTATATTTTTTGAAAAAAATTCACCAAATTTCCTATTTTCCTGAAATCTGACTTTTTTTTATTTTCTAGAAAATTTCATGAATTTTTCTGGAATTTTTCAATTTTTGTGCATTTTCTGAAAAAAAAAATTAGTGAGAAAAAGAGAGAAAATAGGGAGAATGCATTCTAGAAGAGAGAAGCTACAAAAAGTAGCTTCTCTTTTTCTTGTCCAAAACTCATTCTAGAATCAAGAATGCATTCTGGAATCAAGTATTTTTAACAAACGCATTTTTATTCCAGAATGCAAAAATTGCTCCGGAATGCATTCCGGAAATTTTTTAACAAACAAACGCATTTCTATTCCGGAATCCATTCTGGAGCAGAATTTCTACTCCAGAATGGATTCCATGCACGCCCTTAGTAACCGGATTGTTTTAAAAATCAATTGACGGAGTTGTAGTTTCAAGATTGTTCTAAAAACCAGTTGCCACTTTTAGTGCATGCTGGCATCCATCTCCTACATGTTGATAATTCACATGCCTTTCTTATTGCTTTTTCAGATCCACTTTTCCACTACAACGGGCACTTCTTGTAATGACCAAATCCGATTAGGGCAAGGAGTGATTGTCGGGGCTAGAGAGCCCAGATAAGGAATGTCTCTTGGCAGGCTTTCAGGGTGATCAATGGGGCTGGAATAAACCGAACTATGCATCGAACAGGGGGAGAGTAATTTTGAGATATAACTCACAAAAACGCCTTTTGACGTAAACGGCAATGCTTGTACTTAGATGGGAGCACTTTTAGGATTGACGACCTCCTGGGAAGATGCCCACTTGTACATCAAAAGCTGATAATGCTTTAGTGAACTAATCCATAATAAATGTCACACTTCGATAGTGCCACAACTTATTTCATTTGGTATTTGAAGATCTCTTTTCTTTACTTTATCTCATCCGGTCTGTAACTTGGTCTCTAAAATAAAGTATGTGCACAAGAAACAAACAGGTGGGCAAGGGCAATTTGCATATATTACTGTACGATTTGGCTATGACACCAAACCAACTCATTGACATCCCTATATATAACTGATGTTTGGCACATATGTGGACATGATATCCCTATTTAGGACCCATCTGTTAGCCAAACTTTTCAGCCGAGAAAAGTTTTGGCACGCCTATCCTAGCAATGTAGTCATCCTGGGCCAAACTAGAAAGGAAGGAAATGAAGTAGCATGTAACTCTAGCCGTTATCATAGTTAACTGCAATTGACGCTCGGGCGTCTCGCTTAAAGTCCAATCCCCTTGCTGGCAATTCCTTTGAGCGACAGCGAGAGTCACAAATTTTTGTTGCTTTGTAACTATGCGGCTCTATAATTACTCAAAGTGGTTTAGACCGGAGGCTATGGGGACTAGCCAAATAGTTAATTGGCATCGTAGAGCCACTTACACCTGATTTCGGCGGAGAAGAACAAACGATAAAGTAAAAGTAGAAAGCAAAAGAAGCTCGTAAGAACTAAGAAGGGGCGCAGCCATGACGCGGATGCGCATGATAGCCATTCTGTTCCAGAATGAGTTCCTGAAATAGAAATAGATTTTTCTATTTCTGGTTCCAGGATGAGTTTCTGATAAAAGAAACTCGTTTGATAACGACCAAAAATTTCTATTTCTGGAATAGAAACCCTTTTGATAACAGCATAAAATTTTTATTTCCTGAAACAAAAACCCGTTTGATAAACAACACAAAATTCTATTTCCAGGAACAGAAATCCATTTTTTTAGAAATGGAATAAAAATAATTAGAAAATCTGAAAAATTCCTAAAAATCTCAAAAAAAATTCAGAAAATCCAAAAAAATTGAAAAATTCTAGAAAAATTCATCAAAATGTCGAGAAAATAAAAAAAAATTCAGATTTCGGGAAAATAGGAAATTTATTGAATTTTTTAAAAAAAAAATCAAGAAATCAAAATTTTCAAAACTTCACAGAATTACTTTAAATACCTGTGGCCACCCACTTTTTGAGTAAATTTTAATTTTTTTTTGAGATGCCCAAAAAAAATAAAAAATTTCAAAACTTCACAGATTAGCTTAAAATACCAGTGGCCAACCATTTCGAGTGAAATTTAATTTTTTTGAGATTCCCAAAAAAAATAAAAAATAAAAATTTCAAAACTTCACACAATGGCTTAGAATACCTGTGGCCACCCACTTTGAGCGAAATTTTAATTTTTTTAGGTGCCAAAAAAAATAAAAAAATAAAAAATTTCAAAACTTCACAGAATGGTTTAGAATACCTGTGGCCACCCACTTTGAGAGAAATTTAAATTTTTTTAGATGCAAAAAATAATAAAAAATAAAAAATTTCAAAACTTCACATAATGGCTTAGAATACTTCTGGCCACTCACTTTGAGTGAAATTTAAATTTTTTGAGGTGCCCAAATGGTATTTTTGATTTTTTGATTTTTTAATTTTTATTTCGTCACCTAAAAAAAATTAAATTTCACTCAAAGTGGGTGGCCACAGGTACTCTAAGCCATTCTGTGAAGTTTTGAATTTTTTTACTTTTTTTATTTTTTTTCGACACCTAAAAAAATTTAAATTTCGCTCAAAGTGGGTGGCCACAGGTATTCTAAGCCATTCTGTGAAGTTTTGAAGTTTTTTATTTTTTTCGTCACCTAAAAAAATTTAAATTGCTCTCACAGTGGGTTGCCACAAGTATTTTAAGCCATTATGTAAAGTTTTGAAATTTCTGATGTTTTTATTTTTTTGGGAATCTCAAAAAAATTAAATTTCACTCGAAATGGTTAGCCACTGTATTCTAAGCTATTATGTGAAGTTTTGAAATTTTTTATTTTTTTTGGGCATCTCAAAAAATTTAAAATTTACTCAAAAAGTGGGTGGCCACATGTATTCTAAGCAATTCTGTGAAGTTTGAAATTTTTGATTTCTTGATTTTTTTTTGAAAAAATTCAACAAATTTCCTATTTTCCCGAAATTTGAATTTTTTTTTATTTTCTCGACATTTTAATGAATTTTTCTGGAATTTTTCAATTTTTTTGGATTTTCTGAATTTTTTTTGAGATTTTTAGGAATTTTTCGGATTTCTAATTTTTTTTTGTGTTTTTTGAAGAGAAAGAATTCTCTCAGAAATGATTCTGATTTTTGTTCAAGAAATAGAAAACCTACTTTTTTTTTTATTCTGATTTCTGGTCCAGAATCGGTTCTAGAACAAAAAGTTGTTCCAGAAATAGAAAAATGAAATTGCGTTACCAAACGGGTTCTGGTTCAAAACTATTTCTGGGAATAGAAAACTAGTTCCGGACAGAACCAGAATAATTACCACGTGCTACCTAAGGGTTCACCCTTTGTTGTCGGTTTCCATAGGAAGAGACTCTCTTTCCCCTAATGCGGTGGTATTCGAAACCTAGGGTTATATAATCGAGTCGGCCCAAGCTTAATATAAACTCGACTAGACTTGATTTGCATGTTTCATATTCAAAACTCCACTTGAATTTAATCGGTTCGAACTTGATTCAAATAAAAAATTCAGATATACATGCTCAACCCAACCTGATTTGATCAGAAAGAATGAAGTTATGAATGAGCTTGATTTCGAAATTAACAAGCTCTAATTTTTTTCCCGAGTTTATATATTCGTGTGAGTCCTTCGAGAAACTATTACATATTTTTCAAAAAATAATTGGATAATCATCGACTCTTTCCTTTTCTATGCTAAACTTTACCCATCATTTATTTGTACGACCCTTTACATTCTGAGAGCCACTCCTCTCCCTCTCTCTCCACAGACAAAAATGGCGAAACCAAAACCATCTCTCCCCTTCTCCTTCTTCCTCCTCTTCCTCCTGCTCTCCCTAACCATCACCCCATCACAATCCTTCGTCCCCAACCACCCCATACCAGCCCCCACCAGCTTCATCGTCTCCTCCTGCCGCGCCACCCGCTATCCGGCCCTCTGCGTCCACTGCCTCGCCGCCTATGGCGGTGCCATCCAGCGGAGCGACCACCACCTCGCCCAGGCCGCCCTTATCGTCAGCCTCGCCCGGGCCCGCTCCGCCGCCTCCTTCGTCGCCAAGCTGTCCCAAGCTCGCCGCATCAAGCTCCGCGAGCTCCGGGCCGTGAGGGACTGTGTCGAGAACATGGGCGACTCCGTGGACGGTCTCGCCGATTCGGTGAGGGAGCTCGGGCGCTCGGGTCGTGACGTGGGCCGGGACTTCACGTGGCACATGAGCAACGTGGAGACGTGGGTGAGCGCCGCGCTGACGGACGAGAACACGTGCATGAATGGGTTCGGGGGTCGGGCCATGGACGGGGCTGTGAAGGTGGCGGTGAGGCAGAGGGTCGTAGATGTTGCTCAGGTGACGAGCAACGCACTCGCTCTCGTGAACCGGTTTGCTTCCAGACATCGGCCGGTCACGGTGGCGGCGGGAGAGCCTTGAATGAAGCAAGAGAATAGGTTTTACCTTGTACTTCGTTTTTCCTTTCGTTCTTTCCCCTAGCGGTAGTAGTAGCAGTGTGGTGAGTGTTGTTCCTGGCTTGCTAGACTTGGTCGACGGAAATGGAAAAGGTCAAAAATAGAAAAGAATGAACAGAACTTGTAATCTTGCGAGTTACCAGTTTGTATATTCACAGTTTCACTGTCCGTAGTTCTGTTGCGAGCGAAGAAAAAACCTCTAGAGATGTCTATTGCTTTGTTGTGCAATACATTCGGTGTACATGTTCAATTCGATCAGTTAGATCCTTGCCTAGGCGATCCAGAAAAACTCTGCCACTGCTTGGGTTCGATCGAGTGTAGGTACTGTAATAATGGGCTTAAATAACCCATTATTTTATCTAGAGCCCAGCCCATTAACTTGTCTATATATTTTTCAACGTGAATTGGTGAAGGAGCCTCGGTGACCGAAGAGAGAAAGGGAGAAGAAGGGAAGAAGAAGAAATGCACGCAGAGGAAGAAAAAGGGGAATAGGGAAAAATCTTCGTGCGTTTGTGATCCGGACGACTCGATAAGCCGAATCAACGTTGTTTTGTAACGCCGGATAAGTAATCGAGGCCTCTATTCGTCTAATCGATCGATTTCGGAAATTAGGGCACAAATTTAAAGGAATATCGATTTTGAATTGCGAGGCTCGATCGAGGAGTTATTAAGTTGTAATTTTGCGTGGAATGATGGTTTATGGTGTTGTAAAGTGTTGGGGTTTGTTGAGTAGCTATTTCGTAATATGGTTGTTCGGGACGAATTTCGGAGTTACGTGTTACTCGAGCGGCGAAGTCTGATTTTTGAGTCATAAAGCTACGCATTTTTATAGAATTGGTAGTTTACGGTGTTGCGGAGCCGTGAGATTTTACGGAACTTGATTTGGACTTACGGTTTGCTGGATATGAATTTTTGAAGTTGAGTGCGCACGCGATCGCGGTTTTTAGGCCGATTTTGTCAGGTCTTCGGCTCAATTTTAGGACGGCCAAGTTGGGGTTCTTATAATGCTCGAATAAGCTTTCTCTTGACTATAAGTTCGCTTAGAACGAGTTTAGTAGAGAAAGTTATGGCGCAATCAAGTTTTGCGCTCAAGTTCACATCGTGGACGAATTTGGATAATCGCTTTGGACGAATGATTTGAGGGCGTCTTTTAGTCGTTGTGTTAGTGTCTAAGCCCAATTTAGCCGAGTCGTAGCTGAAGTAACATTTTACTCGATTTTGATACCGTTTTCGACTTATTGCTAGGTATTCGGAGTGCGTCGGCTCGAGAAACCGCCGTAGGTTAGTTTTTCGACTTTTCAAGGTACCATTGGTTTCTTCTTTGATATTATTAATTGGAATGAGCTTTCCTATTGTGAAAATGTGATGTTTAAAGTAGTATATAACGTATTTTGAACCTGGAGTTGGTTATATGTTGGGTTATTTGAGTTTTCGTTTGGTCTTACAACTGTGTGCATAGTAGGTGCTCGATCTACCTAGAAGAAATGTATTCTTCCATTTGAGCCGTGATACTCATTCCTCTCATCTTACTTGTTTTTCGGTTCTTCACCGAGGCGCTAGTAGGCGCGAGAGTTCCGGTGTCGAGGGAGGACATTTTGATAGTTGGGACTTTTTGGTACGAGTTGCACATAGATGTGGAGTTTAAATATTAGCCTGTTGCTAGTTATGCTTTTGGCCTATTGGTGGATTGTAGTTAACTCGATATTGTAACCAGATAAACTCTCTATCACGTATATATATGTGGATGCATATATTATGATATTAGGTGAGTTTCGGTTATGTTTTTAACTGCGTCCTTTTGTGAAAGGATGGCGTGTCACGTCCTTATTCTTGTTGAGTTTGGGGTGTGACAGGTACTGGGTGCATCTCCTCTCCCGAATCATATGAGCCTAGTTCGTATCCTTTACACGGTGTCGATGTTGTTTCAATTGTCCACGTGTGTCGGGTTTACATGCACCGGAGGGAGATGATCTCAAAATGGATGAGGGGTTCGGCATAAACACTAGAAATTCAGGAATGGAATTGGACTGTTCTGTGGCCGGAGATTGGGATTAGGAGGGGACAATAAGACGCGATTTGCGAGGAGTTTTCTTTAAAGTACGGTTTATTTATAGCTTTTGTTGACGAATGTGGACTTCTTTTTTCTTTCACTAGCCAGCAGCTTCGTCAAATCAAGATCTGGGTTTTGATTCTGGCATGTCAGCCCAGCATTATCTTCGACCAGGTTCAAGATGCATCCCACGTAACCATCTTTTTTCCCTTCCGTTCAAAGATTGAGCTTATCTCGAAGCGCCGCGTACACACAGGAATGTCGTAAATTCGATTTTCATGTACTAACTCGAGGGAGTTCGTGTCAAGGCTTGCTAACGAACGAGTAACAAGGGCTAATGGCTCTGTTCCTGCTGCTTCGTCTGATTCAACCCGTTTTGAGCTGTTGTTAGGTGATTTTTCTTGTGATCCTTTGAGTGGTCCAGTGTCCACTTTAGGCATGGCATTAATCATCTGAGCTTCACTGCCCCCTCCATTAACCTGAAATCTAACCTGTCCTTTCACTATGCTTGCTCGTTTCTCTTCAATTTGCAATGGGTCCATCACGGGGATTCAAATTTTATGTTGAATCGATCACTTCATCTCTCTTCAGGAACTTTCTCGAGACGCCTTAAATGATAATATCTAGGTCTCAATTTTTGGAATCGCTTGATCCGGTACATGGGGCCCGTTGGATCTCAAATGATCCTAAGTGAGATCTACGTAATTCACGAATTCTATACATGTTAGATAGTTAGGTTCACGTGCATTGAAATCATTGCAATAGCGTAGCTATGTACGCGAATCTGGCCTGTCCACACGTACAGCCGCAGGAAGAAGCAGGAAACAATGAGATGAGCCCATACAGAAGGTGTTCCTAAAGAAAGTTTGGATTGCACAGACAAGAGTCAAATTCTGACCCAAAAAACCAAAAAAAACAGACGAGTCAAATGATTTCAGTGGAGCACTTTGTCCTTCTCTTTTTGCAAGATGATACCCTAGGAGAAAAATATTGCATGACGGCCCCCTCAACGTCTCTATTGGGGCCGGCCATTCAGTAGACGACGCGTGTCCCAGTCTCTCTCTCTCTCTCGCTCCATTGAAGACCTGCGATGCCTCTTCCTCTCTATCTTCATTTCAAATTTCACTCCCTCTCTCCTCTCCTCCAAAGAACGACGGAGGCCGTCTCTCTCTCCCTTTCTCCGGCACGTCCCCCACCGCCTCCGCCTCCGCCTCCGCCTCCGCCTCCGCCTCCGCCGGTCGCAACTGGTCCGAAGCTCAGATCTGCCCCCACCGTCGCCCCCTGGAGCCCCATCGGCGGCTCCGATTCCTCCAAGAGCTCCGCCGGTTGCGGCTGCTTGTCCGAAGCTCGTATCTGCCTCCGGCGGGTCGGTTCAGATCCGCCTCCGCCTCCACTTTCACCGTCGCCTTCCATCGGCGGCCACCATTCCTCCAAAGCCCGCGCCGCCCCCCCCCCTGTTGGTCGCAGCTGCTGGTCTTAAACTCAGATCCGCCTCTGTTTCGTTGCCTCTGTCCATTAAGCCGATTAGTTGAGTAAGCTTACATTGTCCCTGCTCTTGACTTGTGCATCTTTGCCACTGCTGTTGCCGCTGCTCTTGACGTTGCCCTTAATTTTGTGTATCCTTGCCGCTGCTTCCTGACCAGTGCTTGAAATTTGTTATGTTGTGTTGGAGACGTTGTGGAAGCAAGTAGATGATTTTGAGTTTCTGCAATTGCCTCGTCACAATTCTTTCTTTTCTTTGATGTTCCGGATTATTCAATGGTAATCAATTGGAGAGAAGAGTATCGGAAGAAGCCGGTGTTCATGCTGGAGAAACAGAGTACGTTAACTTGAAAATTGTTTTTTTGCAGACTATGTTCTTGTTATCTCTTTCCATTGAGCCCTGTTTGGAAAATTTGTGGTTTCCATAGGTCCAGACTCCAGTGATAGTTAGATTACATCATATGTGATCACTTATGGTGGATCTCTTTCAATTCAGTTCGAGTTCTGCTCCTCAAAAACATGGTTCTTTGACATTGAGTCGGTCGCTTGGAATGGTCTCTTGCATATTGTTTTGATGAGGTTTAGTTTGCATATTACACTTCACAATAGTAGATCCGCGTCTTACATCTCATTACCAACCTTTTTAGCTTGTGGGTAGGAAATCTTGTTTCTTCTCTCTTCTCTTGCTTGTTAGACAATGTTCTTACCTGCAATTGGAGATGAAGCAAGTGTAGCTAACTTTTGTTTTTGAAAATCCGTACATTAAGTCCTAAGAGCATGTAGAGATGCCTCCTTGAAAGTCCAAAAGGCTTACTTTACGATATGAACGTTATCTAATTCATGCCTTGTTGTTAAGGTGTTCTTGCTTGACTGTGAATCTCGGTATTTTTGCCTCACATAATACAGGCTATAGTATATGTTCTTTTGTGAGATCACGGGACCTGAGCAACTAGCCACTGCTCATTAAAAAGCTGTACAAAATCTGTTTATGATTAAGCAAGTCACACCCTATTATTCAAGATGTCTTGATTCGCAGATTAAGTAGGCGCTCGCCTCTGCCTACGCCTCCATAGCCCCATCGACTGCATTAAACTTGGGTTTTGCCGATATTGTTGTTGTATTCTTGGTTTTAAAGTCAACAGCCAGTTAATTCGCACGTGTAAGGTTATCCAACGGCTGAATCAGAGGTAATCCTGAACTCATACTCTGTGAAAGATATTTGCTTTATCAAGAAATGGATGGGATATTATTTTGCTTGTAAAACCACTACATCAAATATTTTTTATTTTTGCTTGCGGAATGAAACTGTCCATCTAACACATGTAACCCGTGATTTGGAAAAAGATTTTGAGTTTATAGTAGAAATGATTTTTGCAAGTGAACTTGAAGCATATCATAAAAATGTGGCATATGCAATAGGCAAAGGATTTGGAATGAGGAAGGCTAAGATTAGAAAAATGGCAAAGGAGAAATACTTTTATATAT